TTGAAGGGATCTAAAGAGTTTCGGGTTTAGGGGATTCTAACAGCCCTTATTTAAAGAACACAGCTTACATCATAATACGAAACCCCTAATGCTTTTAGGGGTATTCCTTAATTAAGAGGTATTGCTCTCTGGACTTCCCCAGAAAAGCGCAAATACCCCGTAATAGACCTCAAAACCTAGAGAATTGCTCAATCGCACGATATGTTAAAATAGATTCAGGCTTCTATGACTTAAGGTATATCTGTATCGGGCTCTTTGGGCCTAAAGCCCGAGGATACAGTTTTCTTGGGGTTCGCGGCGGTCGCGTTCAGATTTCAATTTTTTTCTTTGCCGGGCCTTATGGTCCAGCAGATACTAGATCCTTCGCACCCTAACACGTAGACTGAAGCCTAACACCTGAGGTCTAAACCCTATAACTTCCCCGACTGCCTGAAGTATCAGTCAGCCCAGGCACGTGAATCGGAACCGCGCGATCAGCCCTGCAAGAAATCGGGGGGATGAATGTTCCAGGTTGGCCACCTACCCAGGGGCTCCATACGCCTGCGTAGCCTACTATGGCCGCACAGGACTTCCTCCTTTAGCGGCCAAAGTATATGGCCAAACTTTTACAGTAAGTTGCTGTTCGGAGCGCGTGGTCTTGTGCCCAGGGGCCGACAGCGCGACGACGAGCACGATCGTTAGTGCGACATGTGACTACGGCGACGAAAACGATTACGATATGGTGCGTGACCGCAAACAACCACGACAGCCCCCACCACCAGCACCACCAGCACCACCAGCACCACCAGCACCACCAGCTCCACCAGAACCACCAGCACCACCAGCACCACCACGACGACAGTAGGCACAGCAATAAGCCAATGGAAAGCTGGCAGCAGCAGCAGCAGCGGCGGCGGCGGCAGCAGCAGCACAAACTTCCACGACAAGGAAACCCAACCTATATCCAATAGTCATAATCATGGTGACGCAGCAAGAGCCAAAATTTGAAGCAATGAAGCGAAAAGACGTGCCTGATTTTGCACAAACAACCGTTGTCCCCTAAACCCTACACGTAATCCCTAGGCTAAGCTACAATGCCGCCAAACTACGAAACCCTAAATCTGCGTCTGCGGCCTTTAACACCGAAACCCCTAAACTCCATCCAAAAGCTCTTGGCCGGTCCTGCCCTTATAGAACCCTTATAGATCTCTGTCAAGAGGGACGCTTACAGATCCCTGAAAGGAATACTTGAAGGAACCCGTATCGATCCCTAAAATCAAAACCCCCGAGCCGGTCCTGAAATGAAGACTTACAGAACCCTTAAAGCAACATTGAAGGAACCCCTCCCCTAAACCCCTAAATCCGCATCGATCTCTACAAAGGCCCCAAGCCGGGTGCTGAATGAAAGTAGATCTCTCTTAACAAGGAACCTTTATAGATTCCTATCCTCTACTCCCGGGGTCCTGAAATGAAGGTACCCTAAACCCTGTAGGGTTCCTTTGGGGTTTCCTTTTGAGGCACCCCTACTCTAGGCTTTCCTTTAAACGGACCCTTACAGGATCCCGTAAAGGAACCCTTAAAGGAATCCTTAAAGAAACCTGGATAGATTTATTTAAGCGACCCGTATCCCGAATTCCTGAGATGTAGCCCAAAAGATCTCTTGTAGCAGCCCTTAAAGGAGCCCTATTCGATTCATTACGGCCCTGCGTCCTGAAGTGAAGGTAGATCTCTCTGAAATGGACTCTAAGTCTAAGTGCTGAAAGGAACTTAAAGAGCCCTGCTTCCTTTAACGGGCCCTGGCTCCTGAAATGAAGCCTCATAGATCTCTTAGAACAACCCCTAAACCTGTATGGATCCCTTAGGAAGGCCCCTAAACCCTTACAGCTGTAAGGGTCCATTAAAAGCCTAACCCTGAAAGGTCCTGAAAGGAAAGAGCCCTGTTTCCTTTAAAGGGCCCTAAACCCTAAACCCTCCCTGCGTCCTGAAATGAAGGTAGATCTCTCTTACATGGACTCTAAATGCAAGGCTTATAGATCTGAAAGAAACTTAAAGAGCCTCCCCTTTCCTTTAAAGGGCCCTTAAAGGTCCTGAAATGAAGCCTCATAGATCCCTTAGAAACCCTAAACCCTAAACCCTAAACCCTAAAACCCTAAAGCCCTAAACCCTAAACCCTAAACTCTAAACCCTAAACCTTAAAGCCCTAAACCTTAAAGCCCTAAAGCGTTAAACCCCTAAACCCTAAACTCTAAACCTTAAAGCCCTAAACCTTAAAGCCCTAAAGCGTTAAACCCCTAAACCCTAAACTCTAAACCTTAAAGCCCTAAACCTTAAAGCCCTAAAGCGTTAAACCCCTAAACCCTAAACTCTAAACCTTAAAGCCCTAAACCTTAAAGCCCTAAAGCGTTAAACCCCTAAACCCTAAACTCTAAACCTTAAAGCCCTAAACCTTAAAGCCCTAAAGCCCTAAAACCCCCAAACCCTAAGCCCTCCCTGCGTCCTGAAATGAAGGTGCTGACCGCGGAGACCGCGGGCAGGCCCCAGTCCAGGATGCTCTCGGGGAGCCAAGGCCTTGGGGCTCGGAGCCCAGAGATCCCAACTTAAGGGTTTAGGAGCCAGGTTAGGCGTTTAGGGGTTTAGGGGGTTTAAGATTTAAGCAACTTAGGGAATTTAGGGGATTTAGGGTTTAGGAGCCAGGGCCCTTGGGGCTGGGGGCCTAGGGTTCCCTTTAAGGGATACTTAAGGGTTCCGGCATTAAGGGGTCTATAGTCCCAAGGATGCTCTCGGGGAGCCAAGGCCTCAGGGCTTTTAGGGGTTTTGGGAATTTAAGGAATTTAGGGTTTGGGGTTTAGAAGCCAAGGCCTTGGGGCTCGGAGCCTTGAGATCCCCGGCAATAAGGGGTCTATAGGGTCTTCAATTGAGGAAAAGACGTTCAACCCTAACATTAAGCCCCCTATAGTCCCAAGGATGCTCTCGGGGAGCCACGGCCTCAGGGCTCTTAGGGGTTGTGGGACTTTAGGGTCTGTTTTGAAAGGCCCTTTTCCGTCTGCACTCATTTAGGGATTTTTTTGTTTAAGTGCCATGGCTTCTTTCTGTGCTTCGCGAACGATGCTGCAGGATAAAGCCTGCCTCCAGATGGGGCTTTTAGGGAATTTAGGGTTTAGGATGGTAGGGCCTTGGGTCTCGGAGCCTTGAGATCCCAACTTTGCCCCTGAATTAAGGAATACCTTTAGGGCTCCCTTTAAGGAGTACCTGGGGTTCCCTTCAAGGAATACCTAGGGTGCCCTTTAAGGAATACCTAGGGTGTTCCCTTTAAGGAATATACCCTGAACTATAGGGGGCCTAATGTTATGATTCAAGTTATCCCAACTATGCCCTTAGTTAAATAACACCTAGGGTTCCAATGAAAGGAATACGTACGGGTTCCCGCAATAAGGGGTCTACAGGGCCCCTTAATTAAGGAATAAACCTCAAACCATAATACTCACTGGCCCAAAACCCAAGGAAATGAAAGTTGAAACTTTCAGAATCGACTACCCTATAAGAACCCCAAAAGTTGAAAAAATCAGTTTACAGCCAATATGAATATTAAGCCCCCTATAGTCCCAAGGATGCTCTCCGAAAGCCTTGGGGCTGTTAGGGGTTTGGGGTCTGGGGGTTTTGGGGGTTTTGGGCTCTGGGACTTGGGGTTTAGCATGGTTTAGGGCTTGAATTTGGGATTTTCTAGCTATCTTCCAGGACGGATTATGCGGCGGGATTTCAGGCCCAACCGAGTAAACTATACTATAGTAAAGTAAAGGTTCCGAGTTAAGGTATAGTATATGTAAGTAACGGCTCGGAGTTCGGAGTTGGGGTATATGACACCAATTACAAGGAAATAGGGTTCCTGACTGACTTGGGGTATATAAACCATGAGCGAGCACGGATTCCGACCTCGACGTTAGGCTTGACTGGGGCAGAGCAGCGAGTTGTCAGGGGGGTTGTGCCCACTTAAGCAAGACAAGCTAGCTTCAATCACTGTATGCGAGCTTCATCTGAGAAGGGCGGATAAGTGCGACGAGTCTAGGAGGCGAAGCACCGGTAGCTGTGCCAGTGATTGTTGAATAGTGTTGTCGTCGTTAAGGCTTTACCGGTGTCAGTTTCACTTCTTTGAACAAGCTGACGAGGGTTCGTTGCAGGTTTCGGCAGTAGATTCTATCCCGAACCAGCTCACAAACTCGAAGCATCCAGTGTACAGGCTAGAAGGGGCCCCCACCCTGAATAGTGGTATAAATATAATAGGGCCCTAATATATTCCTTTTAGTCACTATTACAGGGTGGGGGCCCCTTCTCATGTACAGGCATAGAGCTCCGGAGCAAAAACTTCTTTCACTTGCCGAGCTTCATGTAGCTCATCGCACCTGCAGACATCAACTATCCGGACGCGGAATCATAAGGCTACTATGTGGTCTCCATATTCATGCACACATACATACATACCTACGTAAATACCTACCTAGCTAGCTAGAAAGCTACCTACCTACTTATCTACATACATACATACATACATACATACATACATACATGCATACATACATACATACATCACTTACATACATAAATATAAACGTACATACACACATACAGTTTCTTAATACACACGTAGATGCATGCATACATACAGACGTTTTGTTGCCTTGATATGAACCAAGACAAAACCGTTTTAAGAGCACCGTTTCGCAGATGCTGCAACTCACCTATGTTATGAAGCACTCCCGTTTATGGGCCAAGGTTTGAGGTTTGGAGCCGTAGGTTTCAGGGCTGAGATTTTCGGGGCTTATGCCAAAGTTGAGGGGGTGCTCAGTGCTCAGACACCCGTCCTTCTGTAAGGTGTGCCGCCAGAAAGACCATGGTATGTTCCCTGAGACCAACTTGAATATCGGCGCGCTCGCACTCGTCAAGGCACGGTAGGTGTCGAAGACGGTAAACGCCATAGGGCAACAAGTCAAAGGTACTTCGCTCCGCGTTAGTCATGTAGTGAAGTCTCAGTCTTTCGGTGCTTTCCGGGCCCGCAAATAATGTTTACTTTCATCAGCGAGGAAAGTGTCAATTTCGAAGACTCGAGTCTTTGTCCATGCTTGCATCAACTGCCAGAGCACAGTCTGTCTTTTTGCGAATATCGTTTCCGGGTCTTCTTGAAGCGCTTCATCTTCAGCGGCAGATAGATGGTGGGACAGTAGTACATGCTGCTCGGAAGCAGAGAGTCTGCCTTCCTCCCAGGCGCGCTCGTTTGGGAGTTTCACCAAAATTTGGGGCACCTTATTTTGGGGTCCGTATCATAAGGAGAATCCTGCTATTTAGAGTACTATATCAGGGTCCCCTCCTACTTTTGGAACCTCGATCCAGCTCCGAAGCGCTAGCACTCTCGGCATGGAGCTTCTTTCGTGCGATTAGATGAGCGCTGCTAACAAACAATGTAGGGGCCTTGATAATTAGATCAGGGTTTGGGGCCCACTATACTATAAGTATAGTAAGGAACCCCCAAAATAGTACAGGCAATTAATATTATTGTAAGCCTCCTATATTATGACCGTGATCTACCGGAACATCTGGGGCTGTACCGGGGTAACACATGGCAGGCAGGTGTTGTGGAAGGTTCTGGTTTCCTAGTTTAGGGTTTGGGCTTCAGGGTTTAGGGCTTAGGGTTTGTTAACGTCACCAACAGCAGAATGTCGTCGAACAGGTTGAAGAGATTCGCAGATGCTTACTGGTAGTCTCCTTCACATATGCTTCTCTCAAAATGCGCATGTTTTCGGACGCGTGAGGGTGCATGTCAGTATGTATCTAAGCAAACAAAGACATAGTGGGGAGCTGGAGCTGCATACTGAGTTCTTAGCTACTAATTAATTACACGCTTATGCATGACTTTTTCAACAGATGATGCCCCGAAGCCGTGTAACAAGCTGTAACCCCGCACAGAACCGTTCAGGACCGTAAGCCAAACTAAACCACCCTAAACACAACACACTAAACCAAATCAAACCCTCAGGAAGATGTCATCAGAAGGACCTTTAGAACGGCCTTAAGAATTAGAATAGGGCTTTGGGGCCCATTATACTATATTCATGATAAGAAACCCCCAAAATAGTATTGGTAGTTATTTAGGCCCCTAAAGTAAGCGGGGCTTAAATGGGAGGCGAGGACAGTGGGGCCTCAGTACGCCTAAACCCCAACTATCTGGGAGTTTCCGAAAATAGGGGGACCCTAACATAGTTGTAGGACCCGTAGTGTAAGGACCCGCAAGGTACCCCCTATTTTCGGAAGCTCCTATCTGAGCCTGGGATATAAGTAGAGTTACCCTACTTATAACTCCACGTATAATTGCCCATGAACCTCCAAGTAGGGGCCTCAATACGCCTAAGGTAAAAGCCAGAAAGTTGGAATATGATTATCCTAACCCTTCTATGGTTAATCATAGGGTATCCTACCATGAAACCATATTCCAACTTTCTGGAGTTCCCTGTAAAGCCCCAAATATCTGAGCCTGAGCCTTTCTCTGCGAGTGCCAGGAGCAAGGAGAGAAGGTTCAGCAAGGCAAGCCTTGGAGGGGGTTGTCAAAATTATGGTCCCTTGTTGGGTACCCTAAACAGTAGCTGCCGTATTATACTTGGAGGTTCATGGGTAGTTATAAAGTGGTGTTATATGTCCCCGAATCTGGGTTATAATTATAGTTACCCTACATATAACCCCACTTGGAACTACTATACCCCGCTTAGAACCATAATACAACTGAGCATTTTTAATATTCTCTTGGGTTTTATATGAACAAAAATAGAAAAACCCTGAGGAGACCATAGGGGTCTCTTTCAAATGTTGTGGATTTAAGGTTTTGGATAGGATATTGAGGTTTTATGGTTGGACGTTTTGGGTTTAGAACCAAAGACGACCAAGCCTCCTGGCCGTGGTGTATCGCTGGTATGCCTAAACTGAATGAAGAACTTGCGACGAACGCCCTAAACCCTAAAACCCTAGAGCCCAAAACTGATAACATCAAGTGGCAAGTAGACCATGCTGATCGCCCAACGTCGCTCCTGGGCAGTTTCTGAGCTTCTTGAGCTCAGCAATCGTCCAGCTTCTACGGTCATAGGGGCCTTACTAATTTTAAAAGTTTTTGTGGTGCAGTATTGATATTGTTGTTAAACTCCAATTCTGAAAAGGACTAAAATGCTGCCCTGTTGCTGCCTGCACTGGAAGGAAATGGACCAGTCTTCCAACTGTCATGAAGCCTAGAATGTATCCCAAACGCCATGAGGTATCTGCACACATATGGGAGTTTCCGAGAGTAGGGGACCCCAGTACAGCACCCTAGGCCCTAGATAGCAAAACGCAATAAGGTTACCCTAATTTTCGGTAACTACCATCTCCCGCAAACCCTGTGACTGCTCTTACAAGCAAGAAGCTTTCAACACCGCCCAAGCCCATCTCGCAAGAATACCGGAGTGTACAACCTCATGCGCCGCAAAACACTGTACGGCACCCTGTTACAGCCCAAACATTCACCACATACCCAAGCACTTTAATGGGCCACAGCCTGAATTCGTAAAGCAGGGTCTCAAGGATTCTGCGACAAGCATCGGGCATGTCGTACTTACGAGGCGCCTCCCCCGGTTCAACATCGATCGATTCTTGAGGCTCCGAAATAAAAGCTTCCTCAGAAACAGCTCCGTAGTAGTGGGATCCATATTGGCCCCAGGCCAAAACGCTGCAGATGCCGTGAGACATCATAAATGCCAAAAGCAGATGTATACTCCATGAACTTGTTTCTGTTTCCTGAAAACGCATGAGACCCTTGCTGCAAGAGCAACCCCGGAAGAGCCCGGCCATTTTGTCTAGCGAGAGATCGCGCAAACTCCGTTGAAAAACTCTCCAATTGCAGCGAGCTGGTAAGAAGACAGATCCTCCAACCAATACACATGACACGATAAACAAACGGAAAACCACCTTTGCAGATCCCCTAAACCAACCAGCCTTGGCACGCTTTGGTACCCTTGTTTTCGAAGCCTGAAGAAGCCCTGCAGCACAACTCTACCCGATTCCGCAAGCCTCAAAAAGCACTGAAGCCTAAAACCTTGAACCAACTGAGCTTGAAACATCAACCCTAAACCCTAAACCCAACACCTTGAAACACACTGAAGAAGACTCCTAAAGAAGCGCGAAAAGACCCTAAAGAGCAACGAGGAGCGACTGCCGCTGCGATTTCCAACCTCAGCTCCGGCAGTGCAGGTCACGATTCTGGGGTTTAGGGTAATTAGGGCTCGGAGTTCAGGATGTGGTTTAAGGACCACAAAGATGTTCTGCACATGCGAGTCAGGTCAGGCTTTTGCGTTTTAAGATCTAGGAAGCTGGTCTTTGTTTAGTTGGGCTTACGTGTTAGGGAAGTTTAGGAAGTTTGGTGTTTAAGATTTTCGGGCTTCGGAAAGTTTAGGAAAGTTATATTCCAAGACCTCATTTGGGTTACTTGGATTTCTAGGGTTTAGAAGCTTTGTCGAAGTTAGGAAGGTGGAGTTTTTGCTCGTAGCCTTTAGGGTTTGAAAGGTTTAGCATCGAGTTTCGGATCTGGGACTCCGGACGTCGAAAAGGTTTGGGGTTTCTGGAGACGGGATGCAATGCAGTTTAAGAAGCTTGAGGTTAGGTGATTTTCGGGGCATGCGGTATAGGGTTTTGGCTTAGCGGTTTCTGGCTTACGTTTGAAGGGGAAGGATAGCGCGGGTGCTTATAAACGGAGTAGCATAGGCCTTTGCACTTCCAGGTTCGCGGGTAGTCAAACGTCGGTTTGTATGTGATTCAGCTGTCGTTTGTTTCCAACCAGTCAGGCAATACATCCCTATAGACCACAACCATGCGCCTTCCAGTCACGGGTGCCGCCAAATACAAAACCATGATTGGAAACATATATTTGCAAACACGCAAAATGCTCGATCGCATCGCTTCCCCCATTTCGATTCGTGCCTACAGAACCTCCTTAAGATGTACGAAAGCCCTACACAACTCAAATATGGGAGTTTCCGAAGATAGGGGACCCTAACATAGTACCCTATATAGTAGGATCCTTACTACAACGACCCCAAAGCAAGGCACACCGAATTTTCGGAAAATCCTCATTCGTCCCTAAACCTATAAAACCCTCATAGAGTAGTCAAACATCAACACCCCGCGAAGATGCCAAGCAGCTGCCACTGGAGCTCGCTTGCGGCTTTCACTGCCTCGACGTCGGCAAAGTCCGAGGTGTCGTTGCCTCAAGGCTTTAATTTCCCTCTTTCGGATGCTTGGAATCTCTGCCAGCAAAGGCTTTCTGCAAGTATATGTAGCGACCATTAGTGTTTATGTTGGTCTTTTAACACGTTGTGAGTCTTCAACAGCAGTTAGAATCCCTTTTGAAGGGTTGAGAGGGCCTCGGGCGTCGGATGTAAGGCTATCCCCACATCCTGAGCCAAGGATTTTGGACTCTAAGGGTCTACCGCAAGTACTCTTTGGAGAAAGGACGCATGTGCTTACAAAAGGCCATATCTTACCTACATCCGAGTTTCCCAGTACAACCTCAATGGCAGGGGAGCCAGTGTTTTATTTCTATCCAGGAGATCGTGTTTCAAAGTACAGTGGCTGTAAGGGTTCGGAGAATACTATCACCCTCCTCCCTCGATAGGGTGCCACACAGGATAATACGCCTTTGGCCCGTTGACTTCAACACCAAACTACACACTCAGCGTCAAATGAAGCCGACACCCTGAACGAAACGTGCAATGCGAAAAAGCCTTGAACCACCACTGTCCGCATCCCCGAGAAGCCATAGGCGCTTATGTTACACATCTTCAGTTCTGTTTTCTCAGTCGGAAGAAGCTGAGCTCCAGTCTTGCAAGGATCACGAAGTTGCTCAAGCACATCGACCTGGCCGGAACTGCTTCGGATTTAGGGGGCTTTAAGGGTTCCTTTAAGGGGTACCATAAGGGTTCCTTTGGGAATCTGTTTGGGTTTAGGGGTCTAGGCTGAAGGGCTTGGGGCAAGGGGGTTTGGGGTTTCCGGCGCGGGGATCTGGGCATTAGGGCTGAGGCTGAGGGTTAGGGTTTAGGGCTTTTGGGGGTTAAGGCCTGCCGGCTTAGGGCTTTAGGGTTTTGTGGTTCAGGAAGCCGCCATGTTTCGGTGTATATGGTGGTTAGTTTCTATACATTCAGACCGCTATACGATGCATGTTGCATGATGGCTTTCATCAAATTGGGTGACAAGACTCATTTGACGAGACTCAACACAACACATGTGAAACGAGCACCACCCAATGCTCCTGAAACCGGTCTTCTTTGAAGTGCTGAGACAGCGGTGCCTTCGTGGACCTGCTCTTCAGAAACTCGACATAAAAGGCTGACACCTTTGCAACTTGAGGCACCGTTAATCCTGCCTTTCCGACATCCTAAGCTTTAAATGGAAACTCGTGGTCAATGATGTCCATGACGTCCTGTGGATCATTGAAACCCGATTTTTCGTCATGCTTTTTGCACAGCTGCGGGCACCACCGGCTCTGCCTTTGCTGTTTTTTTCTCGGGCGGCTCGTCTTCCTTTGGTTCCTCAGCAAAGAGGCGGCACTTCGTCCTCAGAAAGGCTCCGACATTTCTTGTGGCTTGTTGCTCCAAGTCTGACTTGGGCCCCATCGTTGACAGCCAGTCGACGTTTGCGTTGAAACCACCTGCACGGCAGTGCAGGTATGACCACAAGACTTGCACTTGCACTTGGGTGCGGTAATCGTTGCGACCACATCCAGCCGCCAAGGCTTGCGTTCTAAGAGAAACAACAGACTGGTGGCTTAGGAGCCCATCACTGTACGTAAGGTATAACCACTCAAAACACAAGATGGCTAGTAAACCCCAAACCCTAAACCCTGATGAGCCCATACGCCCTACTAAACCCCAACTGACCCCCAAACCCTATGCCCTAATCAACCCCTAAACCCAAAACTCCGCAGGAGGCACAGCTTGTCCTCAGTGTGACCGCCAGAGCACTCTCGAGGGTTGAGTGGGTCCATGACGACACCTCAGCGCTTTGACAACATCTCTGAAGGGCTCCTTGAAAGGGGTCTAGAAGGGCAATAAACAAGGTTCTTTTGAATAGGGACCTGAGTCATTCGAGTCGGGTTTTGGCAAGAACCCCGAAATAGCCTCAGAGCTTTAGCTGTGTAGTTTGAGACTTAGCATTGAGAGTCCTGGGCTCGAGAAAACTTCAATTTTGCAACCTGTATAGCAACTTTCACAGAACGTTGTTTGGCAACCCTAGCCCCTCAAAGTACCCCAGACCTTCAACGGTTCTAGGTTTACAAGAGTTTCGGCTTCGGGGCTGCAAAGGTCACGGCTAAAGTCTCCTGGGCGGGGGCTAACTTTGAGATGCTTAAGGCACTGGAGGGATAACTTTGGGACGTAGGGCAGCCTAGGGTTTAGAGTTGGTATTCAACGCCTATGGCTTGCCAGGCCGTAACTTGACTGCGGGCCGCAAGAGGCTTTGGTGACTTTGGTGGTCCATTGTAGTCACAACCCTAGTGCTTGCAGTCTGTACTGCGGTCCCTGTTTTCTGAAACTCCCATATGCCGGTCAGAAGTGTAGTATAAGGGGCACGAATAAACTAGATTGAGGAGTTTGGGTACGATTTACGAAAACCAGGCTAAGGAGCCCTAGAACAATACGAGCAACTCTTCAAGGCACCATTTACACCTTTCAGCGCCCTTTATGTGGAAACCTTCATAGCAACCCCGCGTAGACCGCCTAGGGTATCTCCGAACTCTTTCCTGGTCCTGCCCCGGACCTTTTGGGTTGTTTAGGGTTTAAGGTCTGGGTAGATATGACGTATGAACAGGGTGGTTGAGTTGCCCTTCTGTAGCTGCGACGAGGTTGCTCAAGAGTTCTTGAGCCCTGTCTGCGGCCTCTTCCCGCGGTGGACGCTTCCCCAGTGTCTGGCTTTGTTGCGGCCGTAAAGGAAGTGTGTTCCCTCTCGCAGCAGCTTTTCTGCCTCTCGGAGGTCTGCCACCACATCTGGTATGTGGTTGTGAGCTCCTGTCGCCTCCACTGCCGAAAGGAGGTCTATCTGTAAGTTGAGAATGTGTGCGGCTGTGTTGTGTGAGTTGGGTGGCGGTTCTGCGGGGCTGCAAGTTTGCAGGTGCTGGGGGGTCAGAGCTGCTGCTGGATTAGCGCCTTGCTTACGAAGATAACTACTGTTAACTGTAGTTCTCTTGGCCATAACCTACTTCAAACTTCCCATGATCCCACAAGTAGCGCTGGCAAGCAGCACAACTTCGTGATTTGAAGACCTCGTCGGAGGTATGTGAGAAAGAGCTCGCAAAGCTCTGGCTGCGTGAACTCTGTGACCTGTGCAAAGTCCAGTGTTGAAGTTTGGGGCTTGTAGTTGAGCTATTCGGGCTTGAAAGGTTGCAGAGTTATAGATTTAGAGCGAAGCATCATCTTCTTCAACCACTATACCCTTAACCTGTATAACCGCAGACAGTTGCAGCGCCTGCATTAAACCTTCAGAATGATATCTGAGTCGGGTTCAGACACATCCGAGCCTTTCCTTTAAGTTACGCATGGGGGTAGGCCGGGTAACTCGTTCCAAGATGACTACCACCGTAGCGTACGACTACGACTATGACGACGACTGCTGCCTGCAACCAGTAGCACCAAATCTGCTGCTACGGCCACTCCTTGCACTTTGCCTCTATAGTTGACGCATCTGTTGATTTTTGTATGTTGATGATGCTTCTGCTGCTGTTGCAGGTTGCTCTCTTCTGTTCTTCGGAAAAGGTCCGGCAGACTCCTGCGCCCTGTACGACCACGAAGCGCCCAAAGCCAAACATCCCAAAACCCCAACAGCCAAAACTCCAGAATCCGAAGTCCCTGAACCTACAATCCAAACCCCAAACTAGCAAATCCCAAATCCTAAACCTCAGAAGATTTGGGGTTTAAGCGTACAGGGCCTCCTTGAGAGACTTCTGCATGTTGAAGACGAGGCCCTTCCTCTCAACGATGCCTGCTGAGTTCAAGGCTCACGAGTTATGGCCCGCAGCTTTGTGGGATTTAGGGTTCAGGGGTCGAGAATTTAAATTTTTCATCATGATCGCCATCTTCATTACTTACAGTCACCATTGCCAGTGCTCTCGCGACGAAATCATCACCAAAGTCATCGTTAGGAGACTGACGATTGTCGCCAGTACTCTTATCTTGCCAGTTCGGTTGCTCCTGAAAGAACGGCAGAGATACATACATAAATAGGAGCCATCGTCCGTCCGGGTTGAGATAACAGTTGTTGTTACTACTCCATCAAACACGGGCCCACCCCGATTTCGGAACCTCTCATGTGTGATGCGGTGCTTAGGATCGAGCGACACAGCAGGTCACAGCAGGTCTGTCCAGCATGATGCCCCTAACTCTCTATCTATAGATTCTAGCTCGGGATGGCATGCAGACAATGGTGAAAACTCGACTGCGTGGTGTTGTCGGACGGCTGCAAGTTGCGCAGTGAAACTGGCACTCCCACCACGACGACGACAAACGACGACGCCAGAAGCGACGAATACTTATAACAACACTAAAAGCATGCTCTCGAATCCTACACTGTGAGCTTCGAATCATAAATCCTAATGCCGACGTCCTCTCTTGCGGGAAATATCCTTGAATTCCCCAGCAACCCCTGTATCAGTGTTGAAGTAATTGTAGTATGAGTACTTAGGGACTACACGGGTACACTGTTAGTAACTATTCCGACCTCCGCACTACCGTTTTGCTCCTGAATTCCTTCTGTTGGGTGCAATGAAGGCCCGAAACTCCAGAAGGGGCGAGCAGATCACTAGTGGGAAAGCTGTATCAGTTGAACAAATTCAACATAGCGCAAAAAACTAAAATAAAACCCGAAAGGCCTCGATAGCAACTAAAAGGGGCGAGCCAGTCGGAAGTAGGAGCTTTCAAAATGAAAGCTTTCAACAGCAAGGGACTCCAATACAGAAAAACAAATGCGAGATCCTGATGCTAGGGACCCCCAAGTACAGCTTTCTAGGAGCCTTCATGACTAGAATAGGGGCTTTGGGGTGAACTGTACTATAACAATATAGGGACTTTACGCGTATACTGTTGCCAGTTATACCGCCTCCAACCCTAAACCCTAAAGCTTACCCCTGCTTTCTGGACCACTCCCACGTCTGGCTGCGTTGACATTACGCCAGAAGCTAACTCGGAGCTGTAAGGACTGGTAATCCTGCGTTGTACGAACGCCCCCAGAGTAGTACACTTGTTTTCTGAGAACACCTAATTATCAATATTCCCTTATCCTGATAATGATGGCTCCCAGCCATGACGAAGACATTGCCCTGGCGTACTTGTGACACAGGAAGAATGATTTACATACATGCCAAACATGATCGTCGAAAATGGGCGACGCTACGGACGATCGACAAAATCCGACGCTGACATTCCGTCAGCCGTGAGTGTAACGCCTTACGCCATGTGGGCCTTAAGTATCCTAAAACCCCATATCCTAAACTCCCGACAACCCGGATAGAAACATTCTAGCATCCTCACGACTTGTAACAAACCCTGTAAGCCCTCAACCCAAAACTTACCTTGGGCTAGTAGGGAATGGAGGAATGGGGTACAATTATAACTACTATTTGCTACCATTCTTCCACTCCCTACTAACCAAAGGTAAGTATAGATCCCTTACAGTAACCCTTATAGACCCCCTTAAAGGGAACCCTACCATTCCCTATTAACCAAAGGTAAGTATAGATCCGCTACCATTCTTCCATTCCCCACTAACCAAGGGAAGACAAGGTCTCCTCCCAAGTCTTGCTGTTCGAAGGCGCCTTGCAGACCCTTCCTAGAAGCCCTGAAGCCTCATAGAGTTCAACAGACCCAGAAAGCCCGATACTCCTCACAATACCCATTATAGCTTTAAGCTATGATAGGGGAGGTTATGATTATGACTTAAGGTCTATTCCTTAAATAAAGTGGTTTTGGTCTCTCTGGTGCCCTAAGCCCTGAATCCTAGCCGCGCTAAACCCTAAATCCTAATTCCTAAATCATCAACCCTAAACCCTAACTCCCAAACCCTGAATCCTAAACCCTAGATCCTAAATCCGAACTCCTAAACCCGAACTCCTAAACCCTACCTTAACCCGCAATAACCTACATTTCTAAGGACCTCCATAAGGAAATCATAATAAGGAGCCCTAAAAAGTACGTTATTCAGGGTTAACATAACTCCTAAACTTGCGTCTGCGGTCTGAGGTGCCGAGATCTCCATCGAAGGTCAGAGTTTTGAACCTCCGATCGCAAGCCGGAAAGCCGAAACTCAAAACCCTAACAAAAAGGGGTTTAGGGTTTATGGGGCTTATGGGGATTATAGGGTTTAAAGGGTTTATTGGGCTTATAAGAAAGCCGAACCCAAAGGGCTAGGGTTCAGGGTTTACGGAGTTTAGGTTTTGTAAAGGATTGAGTTAAAGTTAGCAGAATAGGATCTAAGTAAATAACGTGGTTTTTAATGAATAGTCGTAATGAGGAGCCGTAGCGAAGAGTGTTGGAAATCATGGAGACCCGGAACTGGGCAGGATTTCATGGGTTTTAGGGCTTTTCTGAAGGGGGAAGCCGTTAGTGCGCGTTTAAAGGGGAGGCCCTAGGGGTTGTAGGGTTTTCAAAGGGAAACTCCAGAAGTTCGCAGCCTAAACTCATTCAACCGAAGCTTCAACCGCGCATGATTTGAACCTTGCGGGAGCCCTTCCGTTTCAATTTTGGTGAAAGTCACAAGCCAAGCTAGTACAGCGGGAGTGAAGCTTCAGCAATGCTAGTCCTTAGGGTGCCTTACGAGGCTTGCAGTCTGACATCAAAGGGACCCTTAGGTGCGTAGGGGTCCGTCATGCCCATGATAAGGACCTAATAAAGCCTTCTTAAGGAAGTAGAGTCCCCAACTCCCTCCCCCTACTACCCCCCTAAGGTTCCCTATGATGAAAGCTCGGGCCCGTCGATCTGGGACTGGGTTCGGCGCGGTTTTGGGTTTAGGGCTTAAGGTTTAGGGTTTAAGGTTTAGGGTTTAAGATTTAGGGTTTAGGGTTTAGGGTGTTGGGTTTACTCTACTGCCCTCAGTCCCGCTCAGCACACGGCCTGCTTGTTTGAAGATAGCTGGAAAGGAGACCAGTAGACAAAACTGTAACAAGCAAACAAGTTCCCACGGGCTGTATTGGCGTAAAAGGGGTCATTAACAATTAGAAAAGGGTTTGGGGATATTCGACTATCGTTACTATAGGAACCCCCACAATAGTATAGGTAAGTATTAGGATTGCCGTTGGGTAGCACGCTCTTCTTCTTGATGTTGTCCTTCAGGTAATCCGACTTTTCCTGAGCAAAAGTTAGGGCAATGCTTTTAGCCTCAGACATACACCTGCTCTTCGTACATGGGTGTAAGCATACTAATTAGCATGTACAGCCGCTTAATCTGCATACATCCTGCAACGGCCACTTGGATGCTCTTTTGACTGACTTAGTCAGTACTATGGTGCTGGGTAAGATTTCGGATCTCCCTTAGAAGCTGCCCCCACCCTTTAATAGTGACTATAAGGATTATATTAGGGGCCTATTATATTCCTATTGTACCACTATTACAGGGTGGGGGCAGCTTCTAAGATTTCCCCCTCAAGCCGCTAAGCCAAGTCGTGTCATGACCGACCTGCTCAAAACCTGGGTGAGATGGGAATTTCCGTAAATTAGGGGGTACCTTACCTTGGGGTCCTTATAATAAGGATCCTACTATTTAGGGTACTATCTTAGGGTCCCCTAGTCTCGGAAACCCCCTTTTGAGCCCCAGACCCTCACGTGCTTCCAGCGTAGCAAGGCAAGGCTCACATATTCGGTGATCTATTTGTGACATCCTCCCGGGGGTCTGGGTAAGAGAACCTCAACCGCACATCAAGCCCCTACTTGGAGGTTCATGGGTAGTTATGGAGTTTTAAGTAACTATAATCATAACCCATATTAGGGGACGTATAACTCCACTTATCACCACCCATGAACCCTAAACCCTAAACCCTAAACCCTAAACCCCTAAACCCTAAACCCTAAACCCTAAACCCTAAACCCTAAGGAGCCCTAAACCCTTATAGCTGCACTTGTGACTACCCATGACTCCAAGTAGGGTCACTGCTACTGCTGGGGACCCGGCTTTCTTCGGAACCTGCAGCAACCTCGACTTGGCCAGACCAGCGAGGAAAGCATAGAGGAACCGTTGGGTATATATGTACATATGTATATATATGTATTTACATATATATATATATATATATATATATATGTGCTATAAATAAAGTACCCCAGCTGATTGCCGGCTTGTGTCGCACGAGGGATGGCAGTGACTACGTCCATCAGCAATGCATAATAGCAACGACTCAAACTAAACCGTGCACGGTTTCAGAAAGGGAAGGTCCCGAACATACCATGTATGTACTTGTTTGGCAAATGGGTCAAGCAACATCCAACAGAAAGAATTGCAATACATACTATTAATCATTCGGAACCCTCGATCAGTTGGCCCAGAAGCTCGCTCCTTGGTGATCGCTTGAGCATCGTGCCCTTTGTGGCATTCCTGCCGGGGTTCAGGGTTAGGGTTTAAGGGTGCAGGGGTTTCCACGTGGGTTTAGGGGTTCAGGGTTGCTGGTTGCGTTTTTATAAGCGTGTAAGGTGCTTCTACTTCAGGCCACAACAAGCCTGAAAGACAAAGCTGAGGCCAAACGAAAGTCGTAAACCCAGGGTCCGCCAGAATGAGCCCCTTTCCTCTTGCTCAGTTGGGATAGTGCGCCTGGAAATAGAGAAGAGGGTGCTATTGTGGGACGCAAACCCTAAACGACAAACAAGTAAAACTCAAACTTTACATCGTAAACCCTAAGATTGTAAACCGCAGAAGAATACACCCTATAGCACTCCAAAAGGTAAGCCCAGACCCCAAACCGTAACACAAGAGGTTGGGGCCTCCCTGGGTAGCACCGTGGAAGGGTTTAAGGTTCGGGCACTTGGTGATTATGGGAGTTGCAGGGCTTCTGCGTGGGCGTTTGATCGGTTTTTCTAGAACTATGAAGGGTTTGGGTTCAGGGTAATTGAAGCTTGGGGCGCCCGGTCGATGCAGTTTCACTTTGGGTGACCTCAATATCAACAGGATGCTTGCCACCTCTAAGACAGGTAGGGTTTAGCGCTTCGGGTAGGGCTTAGGGTCTGTAGGGTTGACTTAAACGCGCTGTTAAAGGAGCCCTTGTAGAACCTTATGTAGAGCCCTTAAAGGAGCCCTGTTGGAACCTCATAGGTATCTGAAAAGTTCACACGGTTTCGGGCTTCGGCTTTAGGATGGTTTCGGTCTTTGGCTTCGCAAAAGCATTTCGAGTGTTTGCAAGGCTTGACAAGGTGTTTAAAGGCTATTACCGGGTTTAGGCTTCTGGGCTTGGGGTGAGGAGCTCTTGGAATAAGCGCAAACCACCGAAGCTTGCAAACGCTAAATCCTAAAGCTGCAAGATCTTGCTCCTTGTTGACGATGCATCCTGAATTGTCGGTTTGGGGATGTTTGGGGTGCCGGTTTAGGGCTTCTGGGGCTGCGGCTAGGGGTTCAGCAAGGTTCGAAATTGATCAAGCAAAAAGGCAATCGGGTTTCTGGTTCAATGTGGTTCTACATTCAATGTTAAGAGGAAGTTTATGAGCACGAATGTGCAGGTATGGACTCAAAAGTGAGAGCAACCAAGATGAACATCTGAATGTCGCTCAACCACCCTTTGCGTGCCGTGTCTCTCTGAAATCGCCTCGTCATGCACGATTAGCTTCATTGCACTTGGGCCACGAAGCATGGATCGGCAGCCCTACGGTAGGAGCCTTGGCAAAAGAGAACCCAAAAGAGCAATATTGGTACTTGTTTCGACTTCTATATTGTGCATGGGAAGAGAAATAACACAACTGTGCTTAAGAACGAAATCCCAACCAGATATTAACGGAACTGTGTAAATGTTACAGCTTTCTCATCACACAAGTTTGGCAAGCAACTCCTCGATGACTCTGACGCTAGGCCTGCTGGTCCAAATTTCTGAAGTCTCCCTCCGATACGAGGCTAAAACACCCTAGGTCGTCGTTAGAAATCGAGTCAAGTCACCTACGGTCGCTTTCGGAGAACATGGTGCGTCTCTCGACTTCCACATGTCGGCAACTGAGCAAGAATCTGTGGGCTCCAGTCTCCTTGCAGGCGCACGGTTGTACAAGCACCTCATGTGTCACTGAAGCCAAGCTGGCAAATTTTGCGCGAATTTTCATGCAAGCGACAAACTAGTAGACATCGACCCAAATCGACATCAACTGAGCATTTCTCTGTGTCTGAAACATGCAAATGCTGTGACCTACTCTACGATGCTGCACATGTTGCGAACTACTGCATCTAAGTTGGGTGCAAACGACTTACAGCATTTCTTCAATCCCCTGGCAGCGTTGAAAACTGCAGCCATCCTGTGCTTCGGAAACCTACAGAAGGCGCGAATATTGAAGTTATGCTGGAGAGCCCGTGTCGCGTTGACCGGTGATGGCTGCCTGAATTCAGTTGGTGTAAGGGCATTACATGGCTTGGGGGGTACCTGACGGCCGAAAGTCATGCTTGGGTACGGTAACCGACAGATTCCTTATCATGGTCTGCCGTTGACTGCCGCTGAGCCATCATGTAGGTTTCGTGTGGGTTCATGCATTTGAAGGTTAAGGACGATCTTCACGTCTTGTGTAGGATGGCTCTTTCAAACCACGACAAAAACAAAGTGACACCTCCATGACCAGCTGCAGTAGCAACCACCACCACCACCACCACCAGCACCACCACCACCACCACCACCACCACCACCACCACCACCACCACCACCACCACCACCACCACCACCACCACCACCACCACCACCACCACCACCACCACCACCACCACTACCATTACTATTACCACCATTACCACCATTACCACCATTACCACCATTGTCACCATTACCACCATTACCACCACCACCAGCAAAGCCACAAGCATAACGACCTAGATACCACCATGACCACCAACATGACCACCACCACCATGACCTCCCCCGCCGCCCCCACCGCTGCCACCAGCACCATCAGCAGCAGCAGCAGCAGCAGCAGCAGCAGCAGCAGCAGCAGCAACCGCAACAACAGCAACAAACGCAGCAGGGAAACCTGCCGCACAACTTGATGGACCAGCAGCACCACCACCAACAACAAGAGCAGCAGGCGCAGCAGCACCGCCACCACCAACAACAACAGGAAGAATAACACCTAGTGCGCTGAGGTAAAATCGTGCGGTGAGGACATGGGGGCTGTTCGAGGGGACAGTGTCGTTGACAGCAAGGAGAAACCTGATTGTGAATGTGGACCTTTGAACCTCTGCCACCTAAACTCGGCAACCTTTTTTGAACACACAACAAGAATCAGAAAACAAGCAAAAAACCCGAGAAGACGTTCTGGGTCCAAAAGCTCATCATGAGATATCATGAGCCACTGAACATAACAGACTACTTGGAGGGGCAGGGGACTTAGTAAGTAGGTTATAAGCAGAGCTATAAGTACCCCAAATGGAGCTACCCCACATTTATAACCCTACTTATAAACGACTTCCTAAGTCCCCTGCCCTTCCAAGCACCCTTAAAGCCCAAGAACCCAAAGATCTAAGCGAAGAAAACCCCTGAGGCGGCCGGAGGACTGCGTAGGGCTGCGTAGGGGCATAAATAATGCGGGGGGGGGGGGGGGGGGGGTTCCTCATTATAGTTATAGTACTATAGGATCCTTAAGGGGGGGTGGTTCAAGGGGGGAGGGTACTAGGGAGCTTTGGGGAACCTACCACCCCCCCTTAAGGACATCCTAACGTACTGTGGAACCAAAATCCTCTTCTAATTATTAAGGCCCCCTATACCAGTGGCGCAGCCTGGCTCAGAGCAGGCTGGTGATCTAGAACGCCTGAGTTCTTTAGGGGCGGTTGCTGCTGACTGGTTAAACCATAATAAGGAAACCATCTTATTGACTATAGATCCCTACTATGGTAACTTAAACCTTAAACCCTGCACCCTCTTAAAGGAACCTTATAGATCCCTTAACGGAGCCCTTATGAATTCCTTAAAGGAGCCTTTATAGGTCACTTAAAGGAGCCCTTGTAGATCCCTTACAGGAGCCCTGATAGATCCTTTAACAAGAACCCAGACGAGGGATTGGGGAAACTCCAGTCCAGTCTGAGTCTTGGCCAAGTTGCTTCATCGCGCTTCGCCCTGCACTGCAGTCACTGCCCAGAGATCTTAAAGGGCTCCTTTAAACGATTCTATATTAGGGTTGAGGGGTTTAGGAGTTTAGGATCCCTTTACCCAAAGATCCCAGTTCCTTTTTGGTATTGGGTAATTTTATAAGGGGCCCAGGACTACAAAAGTGGAATATGGGTACTACTGGGCATCCTAGAAGAACATGAGCAGTATGAAGGCGACGCGACATCGGCAGCAGCAAAGATGTCAGCACGAGAGGCAGCTTTATCAGTATTGCGTAACATCATTAGCATGCTGCTTGGAGATTCATGGGTAGTTCTAAGTGGAGTTATAAGGGGAAGTGGGGAAACTATAATTATAACCCATATTAGGGGACTTGTAGCTCCACTTATAACTACCCATGAACCTCCAAGTGGTGTTGCCTGTTTCCATTTAGGCATTGCAGAACGGCAGCAATAACCCCACGAAGAGCCCCACAGCCAGCAGAAGGCACTACTGGTGGGACCTCGTCATGTTGATTTCATAGGGATCCTTAGGGGTGTAGGGGGGAGGGGTGTAGGGGACTATATTTCCTTAAATAGGCCTTATTAGGCCTTATTATGGGCCTTAAGGCCCCCTACCCCCCCTCCCCCTACAGCCCTAAGGATCCCTATGATGATTGTCTTGCAACCCAATGGGCTCATAATCCCGAAGCATGACTTGTCCACATAAAGTAAAAGCCAGAAAGTTGGAATATGGTTTCAGGGTAGGATACCTTATAATTTACCATGAAGGGCTTAGGATAATCACATTCCAACTTTCTGGCTTTTACATTACTCCCTGCAAGCAACAGCCTTAGTACTTAAGTATTGGGTGCTTGGACCCTCTAGGTTATACCCTACACAGCAGAGCAAACCTCTTCCCCTTCCGTAGAAATCTTCCTAGTGATCCTTCAAAACCCAACAAAAACCCCCAGCAATCCATCCCAAACATTCCCACACTAAGCCCTCACCCTCGGAAGTAGGCCTTGAGGCTCCAAAAGAAACCCTGGAAAGCCTCCTAATGTCCTGATAAACCTTGCAGTATCCACAGCATCATAGTATCATGCAACTACGACTCCAGTTCCGAGTCTTAAAGCCCCCATACTAACGTAATTTCGAATGGTAGCCCGAGAGCCTAAAAGAGACCCTTCGGGCTTTGAAGTAAGCAGGGGAAACATCAGAAGGGGCCCCCACCCTGTAATAGTGGTATAATAGGAATACGATAGGGCCCTAATATAATACTTATAGTCACTATTGCAGGGTGGGGGCAGCTTCTAAAGTCTACGCTTGCACTTGTATTTCATCATGGTTCCTCAGGAACAATTCACCCAACAAACACAAAACTGAGTTGTCCTTTAAGCCCTTTGAAAACTGTTTACTATTATGGTTCTCCACAAAACGGTAGGGGAAATTAAAAAAGACCCCAAAAGACAACCCAGAAAAGCACCAAAGCTCAACTCTCCCCACCCTACACCCTAAAACCCGAAACCCTTGCAACCCTAAAACCCTAAACCCTGAACCCCTAAACCTTAAAACCCTAAGCCCTAAACCTTAAAGCCCTACAACATCCTAAACACTAACGGCAGCCTCACAAGGAGTTTTTTGTAATCCTTCCTAGACCCAAAGTGCTAGAAACCTACAACCCGAAACCCTAAATCCTGAAAAACCTAAACCCTAAACCAAACTCTTAAAAAACCCAAACCCTAAAGCCCTGAAACCCTAAACCCCAAATCCTAAACCGTTTGCTGCCCAAGAATCATCCTGAAGAGCTCGGCACAAAGGAAGTCGTGACCTCAAGCCCAGCAATGGCACGTCCAAGGGAGTTTTCGGGGTTTAGGGGGTATAGGGGTACCCTAAAGGGTCTAGGGTCTAAGGGAAAGAGTTTAGGGTTTAGGGTTTAGAGGGTATAGGGTTGCCCTGAAGGGTTCTTGAACGGGCTATTTATGGGGAATCTATTATAGGGGTTTAGGGTTTAGGGTTTGGGATTTATAGGGTGTACAGGGCTTGGACGCTTAGGGTGTAGGGTTGGGGTTTAGCATTTGGGGTTTGGAGTTTCAGAGGGCTTTAGGGTTTGGGAGCTAGGGGTGGAGGGATTGCAGTTTAGGCTGCTTTGGGCGCGAGGGATTTAATTTGGGGTCCAGGGTTTAAGGTTCGAGGCTCTGGAATTTGAGGTTATGCAGAAGTTGAGATTCAATCGCAGGGACTTCCCAGAACCCCAGGAGAGTCCAAAAAGTAGATGCCTTAATGGGGGTTCAATTAAAGTACCTTTTTGGTAGTCTAGGGCCCCAAATTAAGGGATCTACTTTCTGGATCCTCCCCGGGGGTCTGGGTTTGATTTCAGAGACAGTGGGACTGGCGATTTCCAGGTGAGTCCTTGCCTGTTCTTAGCAGGTTTTTGCAGGGTCTTGTATCTGGGCTTTCAAGTAAACCACGGAGAAAAATGTAAACTGCTATGTCATAATGGTTCCTTTAAGTGGTACTCCGAAGCCCAGGTAATCTCATGGTGGTTCCTAAAAGAAAAAAGGCATTAAAGTATGGTACTCCGAAGCCCAGGTATCCGTTGATCCGTACATAGCTGCGTGCCGAGCGACACCGCACCTGAGTCGCGCAGCAATCAGGGCTTGGCTTCACATTCTATACCCCCTTAGAACCAAAACAAAGATAGCCCTTTTAACATCATACAACAAAAAGACATACTTCCTAAGGAGACTATAATGTTGTTCAGGGAGGGCCGCAGGGCTGAGTAAGCAGTTCTTCAAATCGCTCCCCATCTCTTTAAATCATGGTAGTTCTGACCAGCACTTCAAATCGTGGAACAGGAGGCGTGTTCAGGGTTGCACTTCTTGGTCCGAAAATCCTTGTATGGCTTAATCCTTGTATGGCTTCTTTGGGGACTCTCGATAATTACGAGATGTTCTTCAGGCATGCCCTAAGATCCGGAGCCCGAGAGCCCGAACCACGAACACCCCTTCCGGAAATCCCTAGTATAGGGACCGTAATAAGTAGTATAGGGTTTTGGGGCCCATTACACTATACTTAGAATATAGCCGGAATTTTCTAAGACTACAGCTTCTGGTGCCTTCCAGTACGTGGAGGCCCAGGGAACCGAGACAGTCGGCTATGTTTTAGGGTTTAGGATGCAGGGGCTAGGGCGGCTATGAGTAGAAATGTAATGATTTACCTACTTGTCGGGCTATCATGCGGAACTAAAGCTTAACCCTTTTTGGTAAAATAGGGATTATGTAGGGACTATACTACCCCCAAAAAAGGTTAAAGCTTACCCACTCTACTACTGGGTTTAAGCAAACCTCAAACCAGTAGAAGGCGAAGAAGGTCCTTCGGTTGATGATATAAATCCTGCATTACCTTAATAGACTATGGGAATTATGGTATATTCCTTATTATGGGTAATGCAGGAGTTATATCATCAACCATTTTTGGAAGCAGCAAGTGAACAAAGCCTCTAGACTCGAATTGGGGTCAGTATGGCATTCGGGCTTCAGGGCTTAGGGTTTAGGGGTCTTCGGGTTTAGGGTTTAGGGGTCTTCGGGTTTAGGGTTTAGGGTTCAGGGTTCAGGGTTTAGGGTTTAGGGGTCTTCGGGTGTAGGGTTTCAGGGCTTTGGGCTTCAGGGACTCGAATCCCTTCCAAGCCACTTGCCATTCCATCATTCTTGTGAACTCTTGTTCTACACTACCCTAGAACCCTAAAATTCCAAGGGCTTTCGGAATTATAGTACCCCCAAATTGTTAAAGGGCTACCTACTCTACTGCTAAGAGACGCTCGAATGCGGCATTCTGCCCACAGCCTGTCTAGGTTGGCCCTTTAAAGCCTGAAAAATCATCGTAAATAGGGTCCTGCTAACCCCAATAAGAGAAAATAGAACATGTTCCAAAGGCCTAGCCAGCAGTTCATCCTAGTTGCGAACTCCTGCGTGAGCCGCCCAGTGTTATTCAAGCAAACGACCTGGCAGACAAGGTCGGGCTGAATGTAAGGGGCCTTAATAATTAGAGGTTTAGGGCTTAGGGTTTAGGGGTTTAGGGTTTAGGGTAGCCTACTTGTCGGCTATCATGGGGAACTAAAGCTTAACCGTTCTGGTTATATTATAGGGATTATATAGGGACTCTACTACCCAAAAAGGTTAAAGGTTACATTGCCTTAATAATTGGAATCGGGTTTCGGGAAAAAGGAGAGGGTGAGCCCTGGGGAACCATGTGGATAACGGTTTGTATTGACTACAAAAAGCCTTTGGTGCAAACAAGACAGTGACTATCAAAGCCGGATCCCTTAGGAATGGTGCTGTTCATGACTCAGGCTTACTGTCGGGGTGGGAGACTTTGGGCCTTGCAACGTAGTGATTTATTTGGGGATTTGGGGGTTTAAATTTTAGATTTAATGATTCAGGGGTTCAGGAGTGCAGAGACTTGTGGGTTGGGGTCTTGCGAGTTGGCCGGGGGGCATCTACCCTCTGGAAGCTGCTGTTGTTGATCCTATCTACGCCATTGCTGCCGGACTTTCTCCGGTGAACTTCGGACACCTCTTCAGCAAAAGGCAAGTTTTAATTATCCTCAAAGATCCACTGCTTCCAAAGTATAGATCCAAATCCTAGAAACCCGAAGGTTTGAGCCCAGAGTCTTCAAATTCCAGAACCATAAAGCCCCGCGGCCTACAACGCAATTCGCAAAGCCAGACTAACACCCCAGGCCCTGAACCCTTCTAAAAACCTTCCTTACAAACCCCTAAGTCCCCAAAGCTTCGCAAGTGGGTCTTCCTCCCAAACGCCAGCCTAATCCCTTCCCCCTAATATTAAACGCCCCCCCCCTCCCCCCCCCCTTAATATAAAAACTGGATTCCGGAGGTTTAGTTTTTATATTAGGGGGGGTTTCGGGTCCTGCGGGTATGAGTCGGAGTGACAGCAATTAATTAGTAGCTAGAGCCCGAAAGCTCTAAGCCATAAACAGCCCTAAAGCTTTAGCCCTGAGCCCGAAACCCTTAAACCCCAAAGCTCTCGTGTCTCTTTAATTAGTACTGCTGTAATTAATCTTTGCCTCTATAATTAAAGCCCTGAGCCCTAAACCCTTAAACCCTAAAGCTCTGGTGTCTTTAGTATTACGGTAGTCTTCCTTCAATTAAAACACATACAGATCTGCTACCCCCCTAATGTTGCACCCTTTAAATTGAATGCGGGGCCCGAACCCGCGAAATTCCGGGGGCCGGCAGTTTTTATATTAGGGGGGGTTTAATGTTAGGGGGAAGCGATTATGTAGGCATGTGAGTACTGAATCAAGTAATTCCCTTTGATGTAGGTACGTATATATGTATGTACGTATGTATGTATAGTGTGGGTGCAAGTACGCATTTATGTCGTGTCTTTCTGTCCTTGTACAGTTCTGCCATGTATTACGGGGTCACTAAACTGACTAAACGCTAAACCCAAGCTCACAAACCCTAACCCCCACTGGTCCATTATCCTGGGAACTGAAGGTTAACCTTTCTAATTATATAGGGGGTTTAGTACCAAAAAGGTTGAAGGTTATATAAAGATTACCCATTCTACTACTAGGAAACCCTTCTCCCCGTCCAAGGTCTGGACAAGGAGTTGCTGCCCAGTTGCCGGATGACCATTGACGAGCATTTTCAGAAGCTCCTTTTATTGTTGCAGCTACTATTTATTATTGTTAAAGTATCCATAATTATCTACTATTATCGTTATAACTATAACAAATTATTACCTGTAGTCGCTGATATATGTGATATGGTTGTGAGTACGGTTGTAGACCATCGGACAAAGGTCCGCCGAAACCCAAAGCTCGGAACTTGCCTGACCCCAACCCCAAAGCCCGAAACCTGACAACTGGCACCTGCGAGACTCTGCAAATTTAGGCCTCCTCTAGGTTTGGATATGCTCACTTCGGTCTTCTGCAGCTTGCGTCCAGCAGCAGGTAGTCTCTATAGGAACTAGTTGAACTCTGTGACCCTACACTTTTCTTCGGAATGAGAATACCTGGTTCTGTGAAAATAACGGTATGCTCGCACAGGAACTAGAAGGGTTTCCAGTGTGGGTTAAGATTGTTCAGTCCCCAACTGTAGTCCGGAAGACCATTCAACAAACTCCGAACACCGGACCGTAGGAGCCTGAACAAAAGGAACAGAAGGTACTGCCCCCATACAGTAAGAGTCTACAATAGGCCTACTATTAAGGTCCCTATATATCTATATTATGAATATTATTCAACTACTACTGAGTGGGGCTCGTACCCGAAGCATGTGTAAAGAAGCAACAAAGTGAAATACAATCACAAACCAGTGGGCCCTAAACCCTGAACCCGAAACGTAAAACTCCTAAACCCGTGTCTTCGGACACCAACCCCGTAACGCCCCAATAGTATCCTAAAGACGTTTAAACCCGTTGAAATGATCTGTAGACTGTACCTAGACCTCCAACTACCCTCTAAATTACTCCAAATACCCACAATTTCGGGCCATCTACTGCTGCATTAATGGGCTTTTGGGGAGTCCTCATAACTAATTCTTCCGAAACCCTAAACCCTGAACCCTTAAAGCAACCCTAAACCCTCAACCGCTAAACCCCTAACCCCTAAATCCTAAACCCCGAACCCTTACTCCCTAAGCCCTAACCCCTAAACCCTCAACCCTTAAGGCAACCCTAAACACTATTATCCGGCTCGTTCAAAACCCTAAACCCTAAAGGAAGACCAAACACCAGCCGGCTCATTCTAAACCCAAAACCCCTAAAGAAACCCTGCCTGAACACTATCCGGCTCCTTCTAAGCCTTCAATTTTAACAGCAACCATGAACACATTGCCGGCTCCTTCTAAACCATGAACCCTTACAAGCAACCCTAAACACATTGCTGGCTCCTTCTAAACCCTCAGCCCTTAATGCAGCCCTAAACACTAAACCGCTAAACCCCAAACTCCTAAACCCTAAATCCTAAACCCCAAGCGCGTAATCCCCAAGCCCCTAAACCCCTAACCCCCTAAATCCCTAAACCCTGAGCCGCAACCCTGAACACTCTCCGGCTCCTTCTTGCTGCTATCGCCGCCCCCGAGGAAGATGCAACCACTCGGAGCCAGGCCTAAGAAGGATACAGCAACTTCTTTTGTTTGTGCTGTGGGGATTAGGAGCCTAGGGGCTTAGGGATTTAAGGGTTTGGGGTGAAGGGTCTGGGGTTCAGGGGTTCGGGGGCTTAGGGATTTCGTGGTTTAGGGCTTTTTTTGAAGTTGAGTTGACTTTTCCGTCTGCCGGCGTCGGTGCTCAACCCGTTTAGGGTGCAAGGTTTAGGGGTTTAGGGATCTGGGGTTTAGGGTGCGGGCTTTCGAATTTCCAGGCTTATGCCTTAGGGAAACTACCTTAACCTACCATGCTGATCTTTGTACTTACGAAAAACGCAACTGCACATGTTTGTCCTTACCACTAATGTCAGGTTAAGTTGGGCCCCCCCATACATCCTGCAGTAGTAGCTTACAGCAGATCGTCTGATAAATCAAGCGATCTGGAGATCTGTTGGCTTGCATAAAGGCCTCAGACCAGGATCATGTATCCCCAATATGGGAGTTTCCGAAAAAAGGGGACCCTAATAAGCAGCACCCGAAATAGTAGGATCCTTGAAATACTAGACAGAAAGTTGCTCTCTTTTCACTTCTGCTTCTTGGCACCTTACCTACCATAACCCGTGGACCTTCAAGCAAAATCCGAGCGCTCCCCTGTCCATCCTTCCTCTCAATGGGTCAAGAGTGTGCGCGGCAGTGTAGACTGGGTGGAAGAAGGGTTCCGTATGGTAAGTGTGGTACTCGTAAAATAGACAGCAAAAGCCTCGTCTAATTGTAGAGCATGCGGCTGTGTAGGACCAGCGCATGATGGTGGTCGTCACAGAGGATATAATGCGTGCCTCCAAGACACTTCAGAAGCTCAGAGCGCAGGGAATGGGTTTTGGGCCATACTTTACTACAAATATAAGAGGAAGAGAAGAGGATGATATCGCCAGTGCTGGGTATTCTTGGAGGAACTGCTTGGAACATGAGCCGGGACGAACAGCAGCAACGACTGCAACGACGACTCGCGCGAATTTACAACCGGTGCATACATGTTGGACAGGAAAGTCAAAAAAGATTATGCCAAAGATGAGGGTGCCAAGGGTGCCATTCACAACGGCGGTGGGAAAGGTACTCTGAGGGTCAACTTACTTCCATAGCATTGGCGCTTAGGGATTCAGCAATGGTGACGAGAATTATATTGTCGGTTTTTAGGATGCGGTCAAGCAGCAACCATTGAACCATGGCAGGATTATATATAGGCTTAGGGTTTGGCGTGAATGCCGCCAAACACCGAACCACTTCCTCGCGTTGATCAGTTGTAGCAAATCCTAACCTCAAAACATCTGAAGACCCTAGAATGTAAGCATCACGGAATGTGATGGCACTCAAACGAACACCAAGAAAGCAAAAGGTAAAAGTGTGTGGCATAATTACATCATAAGCATTTAAGACCGCCTTACTTACGAACCTACTACTAAAATACCTGCCCCACCCCATTACACCCCGTTATCCTATCCAAAACACAGAGGCGTCAGCAGTTAGGCCATAGTTAGGCGCTAGGATTTTGGTGGCAGATCATTCCCAACCTCGCTTGCTCCCTCATCCCTCCGCTCGAGACATGGATGTCCTCCCCACATCGTTGCAAAGGCCCTAATGTAGAGGCCTTAAATAGTTAGAACATGGTTTTGGGTCCATTACACTATAAATATAATAGGGAGCCCACAAAATTGTATTGGTAATTATTGAGGCCCCTATAGTATTGAACCTTGGTGACAATGTATATAAGATGCGAAGAGACCTTCCAAAAAACCTGCATAAACTCTAAACCCCTGATGCCCCTTGCTTTTGGCCTCCTCGAAAGTGCCACTGGTTCCACCGAACCTTCCCAGCTTCCGGATCCTTCGCGGTCTTACCTCAGCACTTCGGCCGACAGTCATGTAGGGGCCTTATTTATACCTCTCTTGGAACCATAATAGAAGTTTGCTTTTTAAGATTCTCTTGGTCTTTGTATGAACAAACATAAATAATAGTTCCTACGGAGACTATAGGTATAGTTTGAAATGGGGTTTTGGAAAGTATACTATGCAATACCAATACATGGATATACAAAAGGAATCTGAAGGAACATATCGCGGATAGCTCATGGCTAATTGTACTCATCACTCCGATCCCTCCATTACTTTTCTTGCGGGCTCAGGCGACTTAGTATGTAGGTTCTAAACAGGACGAACCCTGCTCGGTGTTATCTTACCTTTCAACCTACTCTAAACTTCAAAGCAGTGGTCATAAAGTTATAACATAGGTTCCTTCATGTCGAAAATCGAGTGTTGGGGTGTTGCAGGCGGTCGCGAGCAAAGTGAGAACAAGATGACGTGTGAACCAAGATGGAGTGACTAGTTGCAGGTAGATTTCAGAAGACCAATCATCGCATCATACTCATGCAACAGTAATCCAACATCCGCGCCGGAAAGCCACACGGCCCGCAACGCTTGCAGGGCACCTGGGGTCGGCGAATATCCACATGTCATATGTCTCCCCATATGTGCACATTTACGCGTTGCTCCATTTCGAACACTCTTTGTCCTCAAAGTGAGCGCCCGCAGCAATAATCAAGCCCCGGAAACCACAAATCCCACGCGCCTGACAGAGAAACCCCCGAATCCCAACCTCTTGATTAAACCCTGAACCCGAGACCATGTGCCCAGAGACTCCAACATCCCTTGATTAAGGAATATTCCTTAAACCATATTAGGGTCCTACTATGATTTCAGGTGTGTGTGTGTGTGTGTATACATATATATGGGTGGTTGTCAATATTAGGGCCCCTTTTTGGCCCTAGATATCAGGTGCCGTACTATATTACCATAATTTTGACAGCCACCCATATGGTAGGTACTTAGGCCTTGAAGTACCTATATAGGGACCCCTTTTAAGGCCAAAGCACCTACTATTCCTCAATTAAGGGGTATTGCAGTCTTTGGGTGCTCCAAAGATCCGAAAGCCTTGGTTACCAAGCCTACAAAGCCACAGAGTAGGAAGCTTCGAAACCCACATACATCGGGTACGACCCAATACTTGAATCATATTCATAATATAGATATATTAGGATCTTTATAGTAGCCCTATTATAGACTAATAGGGCTACTATTAAGGGCCTAATATATCTATATTATGAATATTATCCAACTGCTACTGAGAGGGGGCAGTACCCAACACATACAGCCTCAAGCATCCGAGCCTTGAAAAATTGAACCCCACCATCCAAAATCCCCAAACCCCCGAGACAAAAGGTAGAAAACCCTAACACTCTGAAGCTGGGGGGGGGTGGGGGGGGGTCGTCCGGCCACACAAACCGTCAGTAGTAACAACCTAAAGACCTTAACCTTGCAGCCCAAGTGGCACGTCCACCCTTTCTTTTCCGAGTCCCTCGGGCGAATGCCAATCATCGCAGGTTTTTCGCGGGCATGCAGTTTAGGGTGCATTATGGCTGGGTGCATTATAAGATCCCATAACGGATAGAGGCAGCCAGAACAAAGGGCCAACCAAAAAAACCCTGAAGCAGCGGGTGTAGGGTTTCCGGGTTCTGGGTTGATGATTTAGCGTGTAGGGCAAGGCCTCCGGTATGCTCCCGCTTCAGTACTCAGGGTTACGGTGTGGGGTCGTTCCATCGTGGTTGCTTAGTGACGTACTGACGGTTTGTTCAGGTAAAGTAAACCTAGAAATCCTAAACCCTACCTTGGGTACGGCCCCCCATACAGTAACAGTCTATAATAGGGCTATTAAGGTCCTTATATCTCTCCATTATGGAATCTTATCCAACTGTTACTGAGGGGGGGCAGTACCCAAAACCTACCCAACCCTAAACCCTAAACCCTAAACCCTACCCATGGATACCGATGCCTTTGCAAACAAAGAAGTTGATCCCAGGCCCAGGCACTGAAAGGAAGCCTTGAGTCCAACACCCCAAGCACAAAGGCGGTATGTAGTGGCTATACCTTAACCTACCAAATCCTACAAAAAGTAGGGTTCCTGTAAATTCAATAGTAGGGTCGAAAATAAGAACCTACAAAAAAGGTGGGGTTTGGTAGGTTAGGGTAGGGTTTAGGGTTTGGGGCTACGGTGGATACGCAACTCTCACAAATGCCTGCCCGCAATCCCCGAATCCTATGCAGGTACCATGGCTTCAGCAACGAAATACCGGGACCTTACTAAGCCTTACTAATGAGACAATGGCTCTGGGCGAGATTATTGCACCATTACTCAGTATTCAGGTGTCTGTGTTACTTCGGTTTGGGGCTCAGTCAGTGAAGGGACTCAACTTCCGAAAACATGAAGACCTGAAGCCTACGCTCAAGACCGTAAAAAAACCTTCACCAACAAAATTAACCTGCACTCGAACGAAACCCTTCTAGGACCCCATGAAACCCCTACACACTAAAACCCAAAACCCTTACAGAGGACGTATGGAGCCCTTATAAATAGGATCCACCAAGGGCCCCGAATTTGATGACCTTTTCCCATCTACCCGGGCTTTGAGGTCGTGAAGCACAGGTAGACTGATAGGCTCGGCGGCCCCACTTCGCACACTTATCACCAAACTTACCGGCTAATATAGGGGCCTTAATAATTGCCTTACTATTTGGGAGGTTCCTTATTACAATTACAGCATAATGGGCCCCCAAACCCATTCGACTTATTGAGGCCCCTATGTTACGCTATATGAACCTCTCCATTTTAAGCTCTAAACCCTGGGCCCTAAGCCCTTAGTGCTTGCCGCGCTGCATGTCCCAGAACTTCCGCCCCCTCGGATCGCAAGTGGCGAGTTCTCTTTGTTACTTTTTCAGGAACGGAGTTTAGTGTTTAGGGTCCCCTTAACCCAAAATCCCAAGCCTTGAAGCGTACTCCCTGAACCCTAGCCCCTAAACCCAACCCTGCCAAAGCATGAAGCACCCACGGTGTAGCACTCATGAAAAGCCAAGAGTCCAATACCCTCCATTAAGGAATATGTCTGGAGGTACATGTGGCTCATCATTAGGGTTCAAGGTTCTCCTGAAGCGACCAGATACAGCTTCGAATGCTGTTGGAATCGCCGATGTACCCCCAAGACCAGGGCAACCATTGGAAAACCCGGTATGCCTTTCAGCTATACACCTCACGATGATCCTTTACCCTATTTCTGCTGATGCTTCGGAGTATCCATAACTCTGTCAACCACACCCGAAGCCGCGACCCTAAACCCTAGGCTTGACACGCTAAGTACCCCCAATCCCTGAGTCCCCCACACCCTATAGTGAACCCCATAAGTTGGAAATCGGATTAAGGCCATATACAACTACTCTTAAGGATCGAGGCTATTGAGTTTCCAACTTTTCGGCTTCTACTGTAACCCCCAAAAAACTAAATCTCCGACACCCTAGCCCCCAAACCCCTAAATCCCCTGGCGCCAAAGATGGGCCAAGTCTGAACATGTGTCAAAGTTCTTGAATGGCTCAGAAAGTCCAAACCCCCAAACCCTATAACCCTTGAACCCTCAAGCCTAAACCTTTACCACCCTTAGAACTATAACAAAAATAATACTTTGAATTTATTCTCTTGGCTTTTGTATGAACAAAAACAAAAAATAATTCCTAAGGAGACTAGAGAAACCCCAAACCCTAAACCCCCTAACCCCAAACCACGAATCCGAGGCTCAGTTTCATGGGCGTCACCACCGGCTGGTTGATGGGCTGCGTGTTCCTGGGCTCTTGTAAATGGCTAGGGACCCTCTTAGTAGTTTATTTAGGGGATTGGGGGCTTAGGGTTTAGGGATCTTCTTACCTTTGGTTAGTAGGGAATGAAGGAATGGGGTACAAGTATAACTACTATTACTGCGTGTTCCTGGGTTCTTGTAAATGGCTTACTTTAGGGTTCAGGGGTTTAGGTTTTGGGCTCTTGTAAAGAAACAGAACTTACGTCGCCATAATGGGAAACCCTATCATCTGCACTATGATGGTCATTTAAAGCTTGTAGAACCGTTAAAGATCCTTGAAAGAGCCTCTCCAGATCCGTTATAGAATCCCTGTGAGAACGGGCACGCCTGCAAATCCGCGAATTGTTTTTTCTTCCACCGTGGCGAGCACTCCGTCATCTTCCGCGTCCAGGGAGCCTGCTGCAAATGTCGGTGCCGCAACGGTTGGTTTCGGTTTGAGCGACTCCTCGATCGCTTCCAGTCGAGAATCTAAATCAAAGTCACTCGGCCTGATACTTCAAAGAAACTGGATGATGTCCCGTGCCACATCACGGTTCGCCTGATCCAAGATTTGCAGTGTGCCGTCGATGCGATTGCTTGCATGTGAGGCCAGACCCAGTTGCACCCATAATTTGTCCACCGGGATGTCACTTGCGGGGACGACGTCCACCAAGACTACCCGGTACTCCCACTCGGCGCAGGCCTGCACCGTCTGCGGTGTGACTGAGGAAAGTTCCGAGTTGACGCGTGCCTCTTGGAAGTCGTCAATGGCGGCGCCCAGGTCTTGCAGAGCCACATCGGCAGTGAGGTCGTTCCCTGTAGTAGGTGCGCGTTCTTCCGATCGCAAAACTGGTTGAAAGTGGCCTGCGCACAGCAGGAATATGACGGGCTGCGGTTTGTCTGGCAGCTTGCGCCAAGCGCCCCACCTTGGTCGCTGCTGAGTCTTACTGCTTTCATGTCTCTACGCCGAGGTGGTGGCCAACGCAGCAGGTGGTTTTTGAAACCACCCCCGACGAAGCTACTCCCCCACGCCGGTGCTATCGGCAGCGGGAAGAGTGCACCCGCGGCGACTCTGCCTTCATAGTCTCGCTCCTGGCATCTGACGTGGTTCGGGCTTGTGCGGTGCGGACCTTGCTGTGCGTAGCTGCCTGCGGGCTTACGGCGCAGAGGGTACTGTCCGAGATGACCAAATCCACCCCGGAGGCCTGGACTATAGGGCTTGAAGTGGCCTCGACGAATTGTGTCTCTCTGGCCTCGACCAGATCGCTGCTCAGTGCTGGGACGAATTCCAGCATGCCCTGTTCGGACAGGTGCACGCCGTCGCTGTACGAGGCGTGACCTGTCGATGCTTACTGTTCTTAACTGCCTTGACATGGATAACACGCCTCTGCTCTTTGCCGCATCGAGCAGCCGCGCACCGGTCTCCCAGCGAAGGTCGGCCTTGGCCGCTAGAACCTCAGCGAGGCGACTTGGTCCCGTTTATTTTTCGAATTTATCCCAGGAGCTGGCATCGTAGCAGGTCCTTAGCATAGTCGTCCTTGGCGCAGCCAGTTTTTGTTGTGACAGACTGCCGCGAAGTGCAAAACAAGAAACGAACTTGATATCGTCAAACTGAGGCGGCCGTCAACGTCAAACTAAGTTATGATAACTTCAAGTAAGCTCCTAAACAAGACCTACTAGTCCAGTATCCTGGAGAATTAAAGGTTAAGCTTCGGGATTATATAGGACTTTCAGTACCCAGCAGGTTAAAGCTTACCTACTCTAAGACTCTACTACCAGAAAGAACTATGGTAGCTTAGACTAAGTTCCTAAACCCTAAACCTTAAACCCCAAACCCTAAACTATGCTAGTTTAATCTACGCTCCCAAACAAGAACCCTAAAGCAAGATAACTCAAACTAAGTTCCTAAACCCTAAAGTATGGTAATTCAACGAAGCTGCTTAACGTGGAGGCCTGAAAAAGTGGGATGAGGGTAAGCAGGGATGAGGGTCGATTGTATATAGCCTCTTGATTTAGGATTACCCCACCTACCTTCATCACACCCGCTATAAACCCCAAACCCTGTAATCCCTAGAAGCCGTAAACCCTAAACTTTATAAACCCTAGAAGCCCTACTGTAACCCTAAACCCCATAAGGGCTACAACCTTCATCCCACCTTTTGAAGCCTCCGATTAACAGCATGGCAGCTAAGCGAAGTTCCTGAACCCCAATCCCTAAAGTCTGTAAAGTATGGTAGCTTTGGTAGCTTCAACTGTCTTGCTTAAGAAAACCTACTTGTCCGGGATCATGGGGAACTAAAGGTTAACCTCTTTGGTTGTATAGAGATTAAATGGGGACTATACTACCCAACAAAGGTTAAAGGCTACCTAGTCTACTACTAGGTTACTAAGGCCTCTACATTAGAATCCTTGTAATGGCCCTTATTGTAGCCCTTATATAGACCCCTTTAAAAGGAACACTGAAAGGTTCCCTACTCTACTACTAGGAGAAAAGCCCAGGGTTCTCCAGAAGCCGCGCCGTCATCAGGGCACTCTCGACGCGGATCGCCTTGGCTCTTCAAGGAAAGGGCTGGGCTCATCTAGAATCTAGATAGGGTTGAGGGCTTGGGGTTTAAGATGGGTTTAGAGGTTTCGGGGTCTGAGGTTTAAGGTTTTTGGGCGGGTTTCAGGGTTTAGAGCTACGATTTCGCAAGGGATGCATCATGGGTTTGGTTTACAAAGACTGCCTACTGACGGTGTCTTCAGGCTTGTACGTGACTTTTCTACAGCAGCTTTGGGGACGTAAGGTTCGACGCTTGACGGCAGGAGCCAGGAAACCCAATCTCCCATCAACATACCTCAACCTGCCATAGCCTGCATTTTTCTGTAGGTTCCTAGTATAAATAAAACCCAGAATGGACTTTATAGGGACCCTGCAGGTACCGCTGAAAGTGAGCTGTCCATGCAATTTGAGGTGGTCTTCAGAAAATCTGTGGAGACCACAGCGTTTAAGGCTCAGGACTAGGTTGAAAGGTAAGGGAGAACCCAACCACTAAAACTCTAAACCCGAGGCCCTAAGCCACAACCCCAAACCCTAAATCATGTCCATGGAACACTGTTCCATGCCCAAGATGCTTACCTTTTCTTAGTAGGGAATGGAGGAATGGGGTGCAATTATAACTACTGTTGCTACCATTCTTCCATTCCCTACTAACCAAAGGCAAGGATAGGGGGGACCTGAAACATCGTGGACCTCTGAGCGGTCTTCGGGGCTTTCAATTAACCAGAGGCACAAAGTATAGACTTCTGTCAGTACAAGGCTCCTTGAAAGATCAGCTCGCCCAAAACAGTATGAACGTACTAGGATCCCCAGTAGCCTAGGAATAGAAAGGGCTCCCTTTCTGGAATTGGGTAGTTTGATACGGAATCTGAGACTACAAAAGAGCCCACTGGGAGATCTAGCGTACGGTACTCCAGACCCCCGTCGTGAGTATTCAGCCGGAAAGCTGCTACGCTGAGAGTCAACCGCGGTTGGGCGTTTCCGAAAATCGGGGACCCTGATATGCTACCCTAAGTAGTAGGATCCTTTATTAAATATAAGGACCCCAAAATCACGTACCCGCAAATTTTCGGAAACTCCCAGTTGTGGACCCCACAACCCTGGTCAATTACATCCCAGTTTTTGTGCTGCTTTTGCATCAGTCGCATCCACTTCCTCCTGGTCCTTGAGGGTCCATTCCCGTTGCTCCTGCTCAGCTCACATTTTTCTGCTGAGGATCTCAAACACGCTTAGTCTAGTTTGAGCGTCTCCCCTAAACCCTAAACCCTGAACCCTAAACCCTAAACCCTAAACCCTAAACCCTAAATCCTAAACCCTAAACCCTAAACCCTAAACCCTAAACCCTAAACCCTAAACCCTAAACCCTAAACCCTAAACCCTAAACCCTAAACCCTAAACCCTACGGCTGGGGCTTCGAGGCACTTGGGGTGTGAAATCTCCGAGACATGGCGGCTCGAGGTGCAGGGCGACGTTTGCTGAAGGGTTCCTGGAACTTCGACGGTTTAGGGTTTAGGGTTTAGGGTTTAGGGTTTAGGGTTTAGGGTTTAGGGTTTAGGGTTTAGGGCAGTTTTAGGTAACCCTAAGGCTCTAAGGACTCATATTTCAAGGCTTTTGGCCCCAAAGACCATAGTATATAAGGCTTTTGGGCTATTTTGAGCCTTAGGGTAAGTGTAACAACCAGTGAAACTGTTGATGATATAAAGCCTGCATTACCTCAAGGACCCTAAACTATGGGAATTATGGTATATTCCTTATTATGGGTAATGCAGGATTCATACCATCAACCGAACGTCGAGTATTAGTTGGGTGTTCAGGTTGCCTGGGCTTCTAGCACCGTTCCGGTGAATTGAAAGTCTGTCATGTTCTGAGAGCAGTACCAATCTTGTTGCCACAGGAAGTGGCATGCTCTTGCTTTGAGTACTCTAAGGCTCAAAACAGCCCAAAAGCCATATATATATATATATATATATATATATAGTATTGATATATGAGTCCTTACATCCCCAGGGTTGGTAACCATGAAGCCTGATTGGCGTCTTTTGCGCCGCCACTCACCGGTCTTCAGATGGTGGTGTAGAATCTCGATCGCCGGCGCTACGGTTGATGATATAAATCCTGCACTACGCATAATAAGGAATATACATAATTCCCATAGCTTAGGGTCCTTAAGGTAATGCAGGATTTATATCATCAACTGTAGTGCGCTAAGAGGCTTGGGGGACTTGTAAGGTCAAGAAACATGGGGGCCTTGATAATTAGAAAAGGGTTTTGGGGCCCAATATACTATGGAGCCCCCAAAATAGTATAGGTAGTTATTTAGGCCTCTACATAATCTGTAGAATTGAAACAGGGCCTGGCTTGAGGGTCATTTGACGCATGTCTCGACTTGTATCCTACTTGCTACGACTGGTGGAAGAATATGACAAGACCCAACAGAGAAAACATGAACTTGAAAACGTAAATAGATCCCTTCGGAAAACCCCGTGAAGTATACAAGCGGTAGCTCCAATAGAAAACTCTCATATCTTTGCAATGGCAGAAATCCCCTAAAATTCCAGACCCGATCATGAAGAAGAACCGGTCTGTCACAGCAACAATCCTCTCCACTACGAAACCCTGCAACACCGTCCTGGCTTTCAAGGACAAACATCCGTGAAGCATAAACTCTGAACCGCAAGCCCGAGGCCTTAAGCCCAGAACCCTTCTTCCCTAAGGTAAAAGCCAGAAAGTTGGAATATGGTTTCATGGTAGGATACCCTATAAGTTACCTTAAAGGGGTTAGGAGAATCATATTCCAACTTTCTGGCTTCTACCTTAGATCCTCATCCCTAACAAGCCCTCAGTCCTACACCTTGAACCTTAACCCCTATACTAGACCTAAGAGTAACCTAGGAAGAAAAAGGGTGCCCTTCTTGGTTTACAGGGGTTTATAAGGGAACCTCAGCCCTAAAACAAGAGAATAAGGGCCTACTCTGGGTCCTAGTATAATTCCTAACTCCCTGAACCTGAACCCAAACCATAGCCCTAAACCCCCGTAAACCTCAAGCCCCAAACTCCAAACCGAAAGTCCTAGCAGCCCTAAGCTATGCTTCAAGTTCGGAGAAACAGGGGCCCTTACATATAAACTCCTGTACTTTATAATCAAGACTAGAAGAGCATGCTACACATTCTAATGTATTCCATCGGCTGATGATATACATCCTGCATTACCCAGAGTACGGAATATACCATAATTCCATAGTTTAAGGTCCTTACGGTAATGCAGAATTTATATCACCAACAGTACCCCTAAGCTGGGCATTCGGAGCTCCTTCTTGGACTTCTCCCCTCGGGATGCACCGCTCCTGAGCGCTCTGGACGAGGCCCGTGCGGCTTTGCAGGGGTGTGGGTTCAGCCTTCTAAAGGGGTCGGAATAAGTTCCTTAAAGGGTTCCTAAAAAGGGATCTATAGGGGTTCCTTAAAGGGATCTATAGGGTTTAGGGTTTAGGGTCTACTTACAGGACTAAAGGGAACTCCAGAAAGTTGGAATATGGATTAATGGTAGGATCCCCTATAATTTACCTTAACGGGGTTACGATAATGATATTCCAACTTTCTGGCTTCTACTGTACGGGAATCTATAACCCTGATGGTCCAAGTAATAGTAACCTACATAAATACTATCCTACACTCCAGTACCTAATTATTGGGTCCTTTGGACCCTTAGGGCAAGGGATCCATTATAGGGTTTAAGGTACTACAGGGGCCTGAATAGTTAGCTATACGATTTTGGGGGTTCAGGAATTTATGGAGAATGCAGGAGTGTGTCTTTCAAGAGTACGCTCACCTTACCTGAGACTATCCCTCACTTGTGAGCGTCTTTGGCAGTACCCACCAAAAGGACCCCCACCGGTACTATAGGCCCACTGTAGGGGCGTTAACAATTAGAATGGGATTTTGGGGTGGTGCGGACATGAGTCTGGTGCGAATGAAGCTGGAGATGACTTGTGCATCCGTTGAACTTTCAGCTATCTTTGAGCTGACCTCCTAACTGAGTTTAGAGACGATATCATCAATGCGTTTAAGCATCGAGTCAAATTGTAATGACCAATCGTCGAGAGTTTGTACAGAGAAATCCTTCGCTTGAGGACATCTACGAGTAAGGTTACGCGGCTCAGAGGAGAAGTTCAACAACTTCTGACAGCACACACAGGCTTCCGATGCTTGCCATTTGGGCTCAAGTAAATGCGTGCGAAAGGTGTTTTCAAGAAGCTGATTTTGCTTGTATCTTTCAAGAACCTCCTTAAATTTAGTAATACGATTTTTCGCTGCTTTGAACCTTTTGATTGGACCGGGTTTGGTCGGCAGTGCTTTTCTGATTTCGTCCGAAGACAGATCAGTCCATCTTTCAAGAGCAATTTGCGTGACGCACTGAATCTGTTGAGAGACTCGATTATTAGAAATGTCGTCCTTGATTGTCCTAATTTGATGAATCCAAGGTATGGGAGCACCTTTCTTTTTAAATCTCGGGATCGGCCAATTCTCAGATAAGGGATTGCTCATAAGCATTGTTGCTTTAAGCCCTACCGCCTCACAAAAAGCAGCAGTTGCGATGCGAAGAACATGCTGATTAATGTTAGAGGCCATTCGAGTCTCAACTCGAAGTCTTTGGATGTTGTTCGCAGCCTCCTGAAGATCCCAATCTGGAATGAAGAACAAGTGTTCGGGGAAGGCCGTCTCATTAGGAAAGGCCGCCAGCCATTTGTCTTGTCTGTCATTGAGGAAAGTCATGTTGTGCAATTCAGGATTTTGCTGCTGTGTTTGAAAGAGGAAAGAAGTGAGTACTCTTAATTTATAAGCAGCCATACCAATAAATTGGCATTGGCCCAAGAAATCAGCTTCAATTCCGCCATACTGCACAAACAGGGCAAGTGCTTGAGTCCAAGTGCGAATTTTGACAGCATCGTTGCAGTGATTATTGGTCCATTTTGCCCAAAAAGAGAAAATCAGCGCAAAATCTTTAACGGAACTACCCCATTTGTTCCATTCAGTGCGTGTGCCAGGGGGATTCCATTGCAAAGGAAGAGCTTGTGAAAGGCACATTTCCGTTTTTTGTCTGTTCTGCATCGGAAGAACCTCCCTGGAAATGGCATTGTGCTGATTTGCTTCAGGAGCAAATTGTTGGTAATTGTCAGGGTCTCTGTTCATTTCCATCCACTGAAACAAAAGTTGCGCAACAAGAAGTTGAAACTGATGCCATTTACTGCGCGTGGATTCAGGGAGCACAGCTGAGCAAATTAAAGCCGATTTGGCACATTCCGGCCATTGACTGTTGTCAAGAAGCTCCTGAGGCCACGATCTTCTAAGATCGGCAAACCGTGGGCATTCCCAAATAATGTGTTTGATATTGCCGTCTTCATGAAGACAATATTGACAATGCGGTGTAGCTTTTATGCCCATCTTATGGAGCCTATAAGGAGTAGCATGCGCGTCGGACAACATTCGGATGACAGGATTCCTAAAAGGCGAGGACGGCTCTAAGCTTCGGAGCAATTTTGTGGTTGCCTGCAAATCGACATCTACGACTCCGTTCCATTTCGGATGTTTTTGTTCTAACTGCTGATAAAACCGCCTACGAATCTGCTCGCGAATAAAGTGTTCAAACTTCTTTTTGTCAGGCTCAGTGAGAAGTATACAATCATCATTACTGTTGCTGATAGCATCAACATCGGGTGAGAAGCGGCAGCAAAGCCAATCCAAGTCTCTTTGAAAGATGGTCATGGGACCGTAAAGATCGTGCTTAGAAGGAATCGATTGCTCGAGCATGTCTTTAAGCTGCTGTGCCAATAACGGTGCTTGAATGAACACTTGTCTCCAAAACCTCATATTATGATACACCATAGCACTTTCCGGATCAAACAAATGTGTTTGTTCGCAGAAGACGCTATGCGCAGCTTGTGTTTGACATTTGCGTAAAGCTGTTGCCTCAAAGATTTTTGATTTCAAGTTTTCAATTTGTGCTTTAGTGGGCCTGACGACAGCACAGGGATAGCAAATGGCTGGTATGACTTTTCTGGCAACAATTGCAACAGCGTTGTCATGAGTAATGCGTGATCTGGTAATTTTGTTCAGCAGGACATAGCAGTCCTGCAGTATGGGACTGAAAAATTTGGAAACAGAAGTGTTCTTGAGAGGGAGTGGTATCCCAAGGTAAACGATCTGCTGCTGTCTTTTAACCTCGTAGCCATCAATCCACCAAAGATTATCAGATTCGGCATTATTCCCAAAAGCGACAGTTTTCGCTTCAGTCTTAAACTCAAAGGAACTATCCCAAAACTGTGTGATGTGGAAGGCGTGCTGTAATTGTTGTGAATTACTGCCTAGCATGAGGCGATCGTCCACGAAAACTTTGGCAAAAATTTCGTCGTGGGGTATTTCGTTAGCCCATGCTCCTAACATGGTAGCTGCCGCAAGCATACTCAAGGGATCACCTTGTGGAATGCCCAAAGTAGCCCTGAATCCATTTTTAGAAATAGACCCATTAAGCGAAGCAAATCTTTGAATGTTGGTAATCATAAATTGCCACGTTGCAACAACCGAAGCAGGAACACCAAGGTGGAGCAAGCTTTCGCACGCTTTGTCAATAGGGACAAAATCGAAGAACTTTTCCGTGTCAATAGCAACCCCTTGAATAGTGGCTCGAATGAGTGGGTCAAGCCGCCATGTGGACTCACACATGAGCGCTGCAGGCAGCCATGCGTGATAGGCCGACCTTCCGCAAACACCTCCAACTGAGTGCTCAGAAATATTTTGTTGTGTTTCACGATACATAAGCAAAATGGTTTTGCAAAAAATCCTGTAACACACAGGTGTGATTGTCAAAGGCCTCAAATCTTTAACAGAAGTCTTACCCTGCTTTTTAGGTATGCAAGTCATTTTGCAATTAAGCCAGGCCAAGGGCACACGATGTTGCTGAATTGATTTATGAAAGATGTGCGCAAGAAAAAGCACCGCAGAGTAAGGCAACTGCTTGAGGTGTGCAATTTCCAGCCCATCAAGTCCCGCGACTTTCGAGGCATCAGCTTTCGAAATAATAGTTTGAATGTGCTGATTGATATCCAAAACTTGTGCAGCATCACGACAATACTGGTATGGAGCTTGGTGCTGTTCAGGAGGGATCGCCTGATTGCTTTTGTAAACTTTCCCAAAGAAACTTGTAATTTCCTTAAGAGAATCATGCAAGCAGTTTGTGAAACCATCCTGTCCAAAATTTTCACTCGCAATGCAAGAGGGAATAGGCGGCGAAGGAGCACGAGCCCATTTAAAGAGGTTCTTAGTCCAAGAATGTTGTGACTGACCATTTTTCTGGATCTTTAGCCTCCACTTTTTTAGTTGGTTTTTGGAGATTTGCTGTAACTTGGACAAGATGCTCTTATGTTGCAGCCAATCCTGATTCTGGATGGCTTGTCCCAGTTGATAATGCAACTTACTATTCTTAAATTGCTCACGCAATCGAAAGCGAGGTTGCAATCCAATGACGGCACCTGCATGATTGTGAATTTTCTGAAATGTTTGACACCACAGCTCCCAATCTTCATCGATGCTAGTGTCCGTAAGCTTCGAAGTGTGCATTGAGAGAGCATTTTGCCATTCATTTTCACAACTGTCATCAATTTTAAAATCCACTTGATGGTAAACTTCCCAAGTGGGTTTCTGCTGAAAGCTGTTGTGAATTGACGTGTGAACAAACGAATGCCCTTTGTCAAGGACCTCAGTAGCTTGAACCGGGGCTATTGATTCTTTGAGAAGGTCCGTCACGGCAATAATATCAATGCAGCTGGTGTTGCCATTGCTGTGCTTATAGGTAAAGAAGTCAAAGTTGGTGCTGCAAGTGAGTGGGAACCAGCTGGAGTCAAGACAACTCTGAACAAAATGACCGCTGCGCGAGTCAGCATTGATGTCCCCAAAAAGAATGCAACTATGATGCGCATGATCTTCCAGCATGGGCAAAAGCTCGTCCAGGAATGGCGCGCTGTTTTGCGTGGGAGCATAAACATTAAAACAAGTAATCCATCTTTGCTGAATAAAGATCTTTACAGCGAGAAAACGACCTTTATGGATCCAGCAACTCATTTTGTCAATGCTAATCTCTTGTACAGGAATGTGTGAACGAATAGCAAAGGCAACTCCAGGAGTGGATTGGTCGAGATGTATCGACTTTTTGTTGTGACCTTGCTGTTTGTAATTAGGAAGTCCGCTAAAGTACAAGTTATAGCCATTTTGCTGAAATGTTGACCGTACGCTGGGCACAGAATCAGCACCGACACGAACTTCTTGGAGAGCAATAACATCGGCATTCAGAGCTATGACTTCATGCACATGCGGGGTAAGGGCATTAACGTTCCAAGTACCTAGAGACATTTTGGTGTTAACTTGATTGTCATGAATAGCACAAGTTGTACGATGGAAAGCCTCTTCCCACGATGAAGGGTAAGTCGAGTCGCAGTTGAGGCGATTATCGTGTTCAGAACCACCATTACAACACTCACCCCAACAACTAAAACAGAGACAGTGGGGGATGATGTTCCAAACAAAGGATTCATGCTTAATCCTTTGGTGGAACTGCGCGTTTCACGAATTTTGAAATGCGTTTACAGGGTTCGCTTGACTGGGATTTGCACCTCCAGCAAGATTTTGCGCAGTCAATGCTTGGATTTGCGATGTAAGATTTTGAATCTGCTGCATGAGTTGCTGGATAGTTTGCTGCTGCTCACTATTTTGTCTCATCATGTCATTAAGCTGCTGTTGCAAACCACTTGTATCCTTTTGTACTTTTTCGTCCTCCGAATCAGTCCATTCTTCGGAATCTATTTTCATGTCGGTGGCGACTTCAGGTCGCTGTCTTTTGCGAGCAGCATTATTAACTACATCAACAAAGGACATTTTCGACTGCTGAGTTTTGGGATGAAGTTTGCCAATGCGACATTGTGCACTCCATGAAGGAAAGTGTAACATGTTATTGTCGATCATTGGCTCAGCTGGTGCAACCTTAGGCTTACGAGCAGCCTCAATTTTGAGGGTGCGTCTCTCATATCCGAAAGTGATTGGAAACTGCCAAACCTTGGGTTCTTCGCTTGATCTAACCAACCACGTGTACCCAGCTTTTTTCCATCTTCTCTCACCGTCCTTGACCGTCGCTTTCCATTTTAGTTGTTGCAGAAGATCAACGATGTTCTCAGTTTCAATTTCGGGAGGAACATTGCTTATGAAGAAGGCAGGGTCCTCGTTTTTACCCAACTTGGATTTCATCTCAGCATGGTGCTCATTCAGCATTCTGAGGGCCCAAGTGCCACGAACTTTAAACGCTCCCAAATGCTTATCATCATTATTTTCAATGACCTCAAGGACCTCCTCATCTGTCATGGGGCGCCCTTCTTTTTTCAACCAAATATGCTGGAAATTGGCTCGCAAAGCTCCAGGCACATTAACTTGAAGTTTACCAGGCCCTGACATGGCAAGCAGGGATGACACTTGGGCGCTTGGAATCCTAACGGAAACTTGGTAAATGCGCTCATTGACATTTTGTTGAATTGTTTGCAAATTCCAAACATCAAGGATTTCAAGATTGCGGTTATGCTGGACCAATGAAGAGATCCACTGTTTCACTGCCGGAAGTCGTTTTTGCTCAATTTCAATTTGTGTTTGCGCGCAAGCTCCATTGTCGCTAAAAGTTAAATAACAGACGGAGCTTTTCGCAGTACTCGGCTTCTGAATGTTCACCGCGGGAGCAGTTTTTCTGTACTCAACGTCGAAGTATGTAATTTGGTGAAGATACGCCTGCATTGAAATTTTTTGTGTATGATCCCCTTGCCGTTTAAGAAATTCGACACAGATGATTTCAGGGTGTTTGACCCCTATCTCCATCGGGAACGGTGCGACAATGCCTATTGGGTAGTTCCTGCCCACTCCTTGCTCCGCGATGCGTTTAGCCTGCTCTTCCTTTTCGCAAACATAAACTCCGCCGTGAGTGTTGGAAAACTCGGAAAGCGGCCGTACGTTCCATCCGTCCGGATCGAGCTCATAGGCAATGCTTTGTTGTCTGCCTTTGCCTTTAGCCTTGCCCTTATTCCCATGATTTTCATTGCTGGCATTGTCAGGTGGCACACCCTTACCGGTAGAATGGGATTTTGGGGTGTATTCTACTATAGCTTCAATAAGGAACCTCTCAAAATAAATAGTATAGCTGGATCCCTTATTATTGACTCCCTGAAAGGACTCCTTAAGGATCTCCTTTAAAGGTAGCTTATTTGTTTAGGCCCCTAAGTTACTCCACAGCTGAAGCTCTTCACGGATGCCTTTTCCATTGCTTCTCCTGGAAAAGGCTTGGGTCGATGGCAGGACGCACGGAGAAACTTATAGTAAACTCCGAAAGTCAAACTGTTGGGCTTCTACCGTAGATACGTAAGAACAAGCTTTTGGGTATGTGGAAGCTTGTGTACTTACACGTAAAGATATTACTCACTATAACTTTGTATGTATGCCCCACCCCCCCAAAGCCTACTCTAATTATTGAGGCCACTACTTTCGGTTCACGCCTTAACGACATTCCGACCATCGGCTATGAAATCATTTGTTTTTTTGGTCCCCTGATCGACAACACCTTTACCCCCGATGCCCCAGATTGCAAGTACCAACAACCACGGGGGTCCATTTATACTCCTATTATGGAATCAGAGCCCCAAAACCATAATAGTGATGGTCTTTTGGGAAACGAATTCCATAATGGTATTATATCTGGGCCCTCTGGGTATACCGCGATCCAGGGCCCCACACTCCCAACAGAGGTTGATGGCCAAGAGCCCTAAACCCTGAACCTTACCTTTGGCTAGTAGGGAATGGAAGAGTGGTAGTAATCGTAGTTATAATTGTACCCCATTCCTCCATTCCCTACTAACCAAAGGAAGGAATGCCCAAACCGCAGCACGAGGTTCCCAGTAGCCGTTTTGAAGATAAGAGTATTCCGTTTGCACAGTATTCAACATGTACTAAGAAAACCCAAAACACAAAGGGGAAACTTACTGAGAGACCCAAGCCCACTTTAGAAAACCCTCTCAAGCCCATATGAAAGACTTTTTAAACCTTGGAACTTGCACATCACCACAGCACCTTGCCAAAGATGCCTTTCTAACTCCACTGCAAAACTGTTCCAAGAACTTTCGGCCCTGCTATAATCGAGCCTTCACAAAACCTTCTAAAAGCATTCTGCAAACCTGCGAAGTCAAAGGCAGCCTCATGGAAAACCCTGAGCCCTAAACTTACACCTGCGCTCTAAACCTAAAGCCCTGAACGCTAGCCTTAACCCTAAGCCCGCAACTCCGCAACCGAAAGCCCTGAACCTTGACCGAAACCCAAAGCCCTAAACCCAAAGCCCTGCACCCTAAGCTGAACGCTAACTCTAAACCCTGACCCAAAACCTAAACCCTGAGCCCCAAAGCTGTTTAGACACCCTAAGCCCTAAACCCGAAGTCTTAAACTCTCAGCCCTAAAGCCTAAGGCCCTGGACTTTGAAGTAACCATGGAGAAAGAAGTATGGACTTTTATTTCATAATGGTTCCTTTAAGGAACAGGTACCAAAAAAAAGTATTCAAGTATGGTACTCCAAACCCAGGGGCCTCAGCCCTCAACCTGAACCCCAAGCCGAAATCCCAAACCTTAAACCCTAACGTAGGAACCTGATCAAGAAACCTTGGGCTTTTAGTAGGGTGCTTTTAAAGGGGTCTAGAAGGGTACTATAAATATGTAGGAACCTGATCAAGAAACCTTGGGCCTTTGTTTGGGTTCCTTTATAGTTGTTGTAAACCACTGCACACACGCACTGTTGTATATACCCGTCCAAGTGTTAACAAGCACAGCAGTATACCATTGGGCATCTACCTTTTTCCTGTTAGAGCACTTGTGCCACAACGTCACCACACAACATGCTACTTCACACGTGCACAAATTACACCCCCCTCGCCGAAGCGTCAGTCTGAGGCGCAAACATGCACGGAAGCTTGGTGCTGTGTGGCCTGCCATAAAGGCGGCTGGATTGTGGCTCGGGGCTCATAGGCTTTCTACTACCGTAAAGCGGAAGATACGGAAGCAGATTAATTCTTTTAGCGCGCAGTTTAAAGTCGCGACATGCATTATAAAGTGGCGACGATCCAGCAAGCCTTGAATGTTGGCGTGGATACGAGTCGCAAGAACGTTTGCAGCGTGGGACGAATACATCATCCACTGGAGCTGCTGACTGTTCGGATTTGTCACAAAGTGACTGCCAGGAAATGAAGCATGAAATTTTTCTGGTCTTAAGGAAATTCGGCCACCTCTAAGAGGGGCTGTATTTCGGAGTACCGGTTAACGTGACGGAACCACGAAATGACGATCAGGTACTTAGTACCATCCTCGGGAACCGGAGGAGCGGCCATAGGGGTGGGACCCGCGTTGATAGCCTCGGTCCCACTCCTGCTGATAGCGCTGCTGCTCAGCTCGGCGTGCATCGGCCTTTGCTTGTGCGATGCGAGAACGCTCCGCATTGCGTTGGCGTTCTTCATATGCACGGCGTGCAATTCCGACCTGTTCCGCGAATTTCCCACGGAGCCACTCAGTCCAGTCCTCAGCAGAATAGCCGAGTCGTGGATCAACGTAGAGTGCCTCTTCTGAGAAAGTAACAATCATCTTCACGATTTTGTGCTGGAGGAAAACATCTACGAATTTACGCAAACTGTATGCCCCTCCCAGCCACATGATGCAAAACGGATCGTCACTCACTGCGGAGATCAGGCCTGCCCTAAGGGCGGCTGGATTGCACTCGTGCAAATAGAGCAACCGAGCAATCTCCTGGTTCCTCGGCCCTTCGGAGCTTCCACCGTAGGTGCCGACAGCTAACTGTCGTTGCTCCTTCGAACGGCCATGGTTCGGCAGTGCAGCATGCGTAAGCACGTCTTCGATGGCCAGAAACTCTCGATCGTACCCATTGCCGATGGCACTCATGGTGTAGTCCACATCATTGTCGAAGCGGTGTACGATGCTTGTGTAGCCTCCTTTCGTAGCCATTTTCAACTGCTGCCTGGCCTTGTCCAATGCTTCTGCGTCAATCAAGTGACGTCGTTCCGCGCTGTGTCGAGGAGTCTCTGGTCATTTCGTGGATGACCTCCTCCGGCGTCAGCTGGGAATGTGGCTTGCCCGCAGTGGCAGCGGCGGCCTCTTCAGCGAACCAACGAGCTGTACGCACTTTCTTGCGTGCGTTCTGCTGGGAAGGCTTCACTATGTGAACGCCACAGCTCAAGCATATCATCTGTCCCACAAGGTGTTGAGCACCGCAGTGGGGACATGCCCTGTGGCGGCCACCCGTAACGGGGGCTGGAGGGAGAGCCAACGGAGTCGATTCCGGCTGAGGCGGTGCCTGCTCGAACATCGGCTCAACTTTGACTTCTTCCTCCTTTTTCACATCGCCTTCGTCTGGCTCGATCTCGATCTCGACTTCAACGGGATCTTCCGGCTCAAGGAAACGAACACGTTTTCTGGACTCAGTCGGTGCCTCCGGTGGTGAAGCGCCCCCCTGGTCCAATGTTGTGATTTCCTCCGGAAGGAAGTCGGATGCTGTAGCGTCGTTGAGTGCAAGAGGTGCTGGTGATGATGCTGATGGCGCAACCTCAACCTCAACTTCGACCATAGGCTCGTCTGCGGGAGCAGACGATGCTGCTTCAACTTCTTCATGGCCACCACTAAGTGGGGCTGAAGGTTCCTCCGGAACATCGGGGAACTGCTCCGGCTCAGCTGCTCCAGGATCGACGATGGGATCCTGGGCAGTCTCCGGGATGATGGTATCTTCCTCCTCGCTGGATTGGCGAGACCACAGAATGATGCCTTTGATCGTGTCACGAATGTAGAGCACACAAGTCCCTGGCACCGGGTCGCGAGTGAGTATACCTTCGGAAGTTGTCTCGAAGAGGTACGCATAGCGGTTGACCTCCTGAGTATCGAGTACAATTTCGTAAGGAAGGTTCGCTCGGCTGCCAGCTTTATTCTCAAGCTCGCTCAGAGTGGCTTTCGCGAAGTAGTTGTGAAACTTGCCGCTCCGGTTGAACCCCGGCGTGAAGCCAGAAGAGAGAATATTGAATGCTGCATCATGCGTCGTTCTGTGGTAGAGACGCGGGGGAAACTCCCCAAGAGCAAGGAATGGCCTGCCTTGATAGGCGGCTGTAGGACCAAGCTCCTCACGCGTATCGTTCGTGAACCAATGCAGCGCAATGGAGGAATCAGTCACTTGGTCTTTGATGCGTTCGCCGTGACCATGCGAAGCACAAATCCAAGAGGGCCAAATGTCCGTCTCAATGAAGTCAGCACGCGGATCGGTGGGGAGGCCTGCCAAGTTAAACCTCGATTTGTTATCGTAGGCGACTATGGACAAGATACCTCGTGTTCCCAGATCCACACGGTGCTTCTTCCACATATGCTGGATGAGATCTTGGATGCGAACCCATTTCCCGCGCCGTGAGCTGAGCTTCACGTTCGATCGGACAGCACCTGTGAGGTAGCGCTCAACATAAGGTTTGAGGCCCAACTCAGGGAGGTGGTCCTTCGGGATCGAATCGGGGAGGATCTGAACGATCTCGCTCCCCTCCGGATCCTCTGGGCACACATCCTCGTCGACGAAGCCACACATTTCCATCAGGTCCAAGTCGTCTTGGTACTTTACCCCAATGTAGTCGTGTGGGCGAGCCCTTAATAGGCCGCTGGAAGGGTCCCGGTCCTTCTTGGTCATGCCCTCTTTTGCCGCTGACAGAGTACGGTGAGACTCTGTGCGGTAAGGGATGGCCTCGATGACATCGTCAAAGGACACCTCCGGTACGTCGCGAGATGATGCACTGCCAGATGGGCCACCACTAAGTGGGGCTGGATCCTTTCGCTCAGCACGGGCACGTGCTTCCGCCTGCTCTTTCGCGCGCTTTTGCGCCTGTTCGCGAGCTGTGGCCCATTCCCAATTCAGGACATCCTGAGGGACCTCACGCATTCCAGTGACCGGAAGATCAGGTGGAGGAACATAAGGGGATTCCCATGGATCAGGGCATTCGTTCGCAGCTTCGCGGATCTCGGCCTGCCTTAAAAGGCGGCGGGAGAGCTGGGACCGATACAGTGCCTTGTCGAAGACATACTGCATGGAATACACCCGCGTTCCTTCTGGATCAAAAGGGAAACGGCGGGCCAGCTCGTCCAGCGTCTCTGCGGGCATCTTCGCGAATAAGTGGTCAGCTTGACACACTTTAATCCGCTGTCCGATCACAGAGGCCAAGGCTGCGCGATGTGTTGAGTCTTCGCGGAAGTGGTAGT